TTAATAATCCGGCTCCCCACTTAAAATTTTTTTTGCACGAAGTAAGCATCATTGAGGTAAGAGACGCCATTACGTCTTTATCTAATAGTAAATGTCGAAACATATATGATCTTTCTGCAGAAATTGTAAAATGTCTAAGGGATTTAATTGTATTACCACTAACAGTGTTAATTAATGAGTGTTTTAGGGGCGGGGACGTTCCCAAAGGCATTGAAACGGTCTATAATTTTACCTTTGTTTAAAAAGGGTGACAAAGAGGATGTTCCAAATTATAGGCCGATATCAATACTTCCCATTTTTTCAAAAATTTTTGAAAAGATCTTAAAAAATCGCATATTGAATTATTTTAAGGTCAATAATATTTTTAATAATGCACAATACGGTTTTAGATCAAAAAAGTCAACGACGGACGCCCTTGTATCTAGTACAATCTTAAACACATTTAATGAAAATAATTATACAACAGCAACTTTTCTAGATTTAAGCAAAGCTTTTGATTGTGTAAATCATCAGAATATCTTGTTAAATAAGTTGAAAGCATATAATTTTGATGAAATTTCCATTAAACTCATGCAATCATATCTCGAAGAACGTTCTCAAATTGTTAGATATAACGGTTTGTTCTCAAAAGATATGTGTACAGTCTGGTCTTCCCCAAGGTTCCATTTTACGGCCTGTGCTTTTCTTAATTTATATAAATGGCTTGCCTTCTACAGTTAATGGTCATTTTATATTATATGCCGATGACACTACAATACTAAGCTCTGGTTCTAGTCTAGAAATAACAAATATAAGAAGTATAGGCAGTCCAAGTCTTGGTTCCACTTGAACAAGTTGTCTCTAAATGAAGACAAAACAGAAGTTTTAACTTTTACGATGAGAAGGGACACTGATGTAATTCACCAAAAGCCGGTGAAATTTCTAGGCGTCTATCTGGACTCCACACTTTCATGGACACGCCATATTGACGAGCTCTCCTCAAAACTGAACAGAACTGTGTTCTTACTCGTAATTTAACAAACCATGTTTTTCCGGAAGTTACGCGCACTGCGTACTTCGGATTATTCCATGCCATAATGAACTATGGTATTTTAATATGGGGTCACTGCTCCTCTGTATCTAGAATCTTTAAAATACAAAGAACAGTGGTTAGAATATTGGCTAACCTAGACTATCATACTGATTGCAGGCAAGCCTTCACAGATTTGGAAATATTAACCTTACCCTCACTATATACCTGTATGATTTATATGAAAAGTAATTGCCAAAAATTTAAATGCCACTCGGACTTTCACAATTACGATACGCGAAATATGCATTATTACGTACCTACTTATTTACGTCTTAAAAAAAGTCAGTACGGCCCTAATTTTTTAGCCATAAAATTTTTTAATATGTTGCCTACCGCTCTCAAACATTGCAATGAAATGGAGTTTAAATCTAAAATTAAATCATATCTAATAAAAAAGGCTTTCTATTCACTAGAAGAATTTTTGACGAATGTTGTGATATAATGGAATAGTTTGTATAATTATTATGTTTGTTTGTAATTTATTATATTCGTTTGTCTCTTACATTGCATACTTAAAATGACTTGTGTAAACACCATGTGTAAAACATCAATAAATATTATTATTATTATTATTACAAACACATTGTCCACGATGATGGCTTGTAATTTTTAAAAAAATCGACTTAAAGTTTCTCAATTTTCTTAGCAAATTCCACCATTTCGCCCCTGGACTTTGCCTCAACAATAAGAAATCACCTCGCTTTCTATCCCCAGGTCCTTGTTTTCAATGTGCTGTAGTCGATCTATTTCCGACTGGCTACTTTCCACTTCGGCTGTTCGTGCCTCCTTGGCAAGGACCTGGATCTCCCCCGTTCCCTATATCTATCCTTCTTTAGCTAATTGCAAGACAAGCTCTTTTGTGTTTTGCCAATTAGCTACAGTGTCGACGTTTCTTAAACACCCCGTCATATATACGTTTAGTTAGTGGAAATCCGTCTTGGCCTCTTTCTACTCTCACACCCCAATAGAACAAACTATCTGGATGTCCAAAATGGCACAGTTCAGCTGCTCCACTCCCATATAAGGAGTAATTATCGAAACCTTTGAGATTTACACAAACTACTCTAGTTAAATAATAATTATTATAAATAAAATAATTGATGATCTGAGCATTTATACATCTCTGTTTAAAATGCGAGGGTCATTTTTTAAACTAGAATTGCGATCCTATTGAAAGTTAACAATATTTATTAAGATAATCACGATTAGTCATTGAAAATGAACCATTAAAGACATTCAAGCGCCCTATTTATTACAGCAATTAATTACTATCGTTAATAAATATTACAAACGTTACTTATTACACAAATTAACTTAATAAATTCCCACTCTGGCAATATCATTCTCATACAATACGTTACTGAAACAGCTTATAGTATATTAAACTGCGTTCCGTAAATTACCATTATACACAATTTTACAATGGAAATAGAACGGCCTTACGCTATAAATCATTTCTACACCCAGTTATTACATGAAAGAATTGCTCAACGATTTGATCTTGTACAATATAGGATAACATCTCCACTGATTGCCAGTGAAGCCTCTTTGTGCTTATTCGAGCTTAACAGAAAATTCTTTAGAACGAAAGCTATTCAACGTTTTTTACTTATATACATCTCTCCGGCAGCAGGTCCTTTAATAAAGAGTGATTAAATACCATTAAAAAGTTTCTCCCTTTGAAATTATTTTCGAATCAAATTCTGTGCAGCGCCATTATGCTCGCTCAGTTCGTAAATTTCTAAATAAGAGGCGAAGTGTTTCCAAATCCCCCGAAGGTGCGAAATAAATCACTAGACGTCAAAGTATGCTATAATCATCGTGAACAGTTCAATAATGTAATTCAATTTTACGTGTAGCCGTACGCATGTGCACTGCTGGATTGTATACATATATTAGCAATAAATTACAGCACACGTTCTTATTGATCGCGCTTGATAACTCTATACCGGTGTGAATATACCGTGGGTAGTAATTCAAATACGACACATTATGGAGCAGTGACTTCGACCTTGAACTTTACGCAAAATAAGAAGGGCACAAAACGCATTTCAGGAGTAGGTACGCACCAGGGGCATATTTCTTACGTACCGCTAGAACGTGTGAGAATTTTTTGTAAAGGTCGACAGGCCGAGAGTATTTCAGAAAATAATACGATTTACTTTCCATTTACAGTTAGTGCTCCAAACGTTTACTGCGTGCTTGAAAAATCATAAGAGCGAGCTAGTATACCTAGGTAAAAGAGAAGTAACACAAGTTACAGAAAGCTGAAATTCAATTATGATGAGACATGATATGCGAATGAAGATGATGGAACTAAGGCCTTACCTAAAATAGAATTTACGCTTGATGTACCACTAACTACATATCTTAGGGAAATTTTGCATTTTATAACGATCCTTGTACGTCGTTATATTTTCAATTTAATCCGTGATACGAGATCGAAATATCGTTTCCAATTTTAAAAGGTACCAATTTTGGCCATATGTATAACACTTTCAACGCAAAGATGCAATAAATATACATTAATTAACATGTTTGATTATTTTTTAATAATCCACGTTTATTTATTTAATATCTACAGGCAGGACCCTTACTTATACACTGCCTTTTTTTGAGCCCCGAAAAAAAAATTGTCTCATATCGACCCGGAAAAAACATTTTCTTACAGAATGTGGCCTGTAGAATCCATAATTTCCAACAGTTCCAAGATTGGGGTACTAGTTCAAAAGTTACAGCCCTTTGAATTTTTTTTCGAAATTGGTTTCTAGTTATAACTTTTGAATGAGAAGTCTGATCGAAAAAGTACGAATTGTTTTGGATTCTACGCACCAAAATTAATAAGAAAAAGTGTTTTCCCGAGAAATTTTGGTGTAGTCGATTTTTGGTAAAAAAGGAAGGTTATACACTGCCTTTTTTTGAGCCCCGAAAAAAAAATTGTCTCAGATCGACCCGGAAAAAAAATTTTCTTATAGAATGTGGCCTGTAGAATCCATAATTTCAAACAGTTCCAAGATTGGGCTACTAGTTCAAAAGTTACAGCCCTTTGAATTTTTTTTCGAAATTGGTTTCTAGTCTATAACTTTTGATTGAGAAGTCTGATCGAAAAAGTACGAATTGTTTTGGATTCTACGCACCAAAATTAATAAGAAAAAGTGTTTTCCCGAGAAATTTTGGTGTAGTCGATTTTTGGTAAAAAAGGAAGGTTAAACACTGCCTTTTTTTGAGGCCCGAAAAAAAAATTGTCTCAGATTGACCCGGAAAAAAAGATTTTCTTATAGAATGTGGCCAGTAGAATCCATAATTTCAAACAGTTCCCAGATTGGGCTACTAGTTCAAAAGTTACAGCCCTTTGAAGTTTCTTTCGAAATTGGTTTCTAGTCTAGAACTTTTTTTTGAGAAGTCTGATCGAAAAAGTACGAATTGTTTTGGATTCTACGCACCAAAATTAATAAGAAAAGGTGTTTTCCCGAGAAATTTTGGTGTAGTCGATTTTTGGGAAAAAAAGGAAGGTTAAACACTGCCTTTTTTTGAGGCCCGAAAAAAAAATTGTCTCAGATCGACCCGGAAACAAAATTTTCTTATAGAATGTAGCCTGTAGAATCCATAATTTTGGGATTTTTGGTAAAAAAAGGAAGGTTGTTTGGGGTGACTGAACTAGTTAGCTTTTTAAACTATTGCACAAACGAAAGCTAAATTCTAGTGCACACCTTCAACAGAAGATGCATGGGACAATTGAGCATTTACAGTCATTGAAAGTGTATACCTACAATTACTCGCCCACGTTATCACACATCCTAATGCAGTTACTGTTCTGTGAGCAACAAACTGCTTTCCGTGGGTGTTTTAATTCGCACACGCGACCACATGGACGATTTATCCGGTCGTGAGAGTCGAAAAAATCCAAATAAAATTTTTAACATTTTAGGGAACATGTGGGCAGTGTTCCCCTGGATAATCGTGCTCGCAACCATAATATCGGCACGCCAAACGCCCCAGATCGCGTCGGGACAGCCCTGTCCCGGCCCGCCCGACAAGGGTCCTTGTAACAGATCGATCTTCAAATGGGCCTACGATTCCGAAAGGAAATCGTGCGTCATGTTCGTTTGGGGCGGCTGTGCCGGAAACGACAAGAATCGATTCGATACCGAAGTGCTGTGCATGCGGTACTGTGCAGGGCCGAACTGTAAGTACAAAAGTAAGGTTCGACTTTTTGGGTAATAGGATGCGCAGTTTTGGATTCGTCTGAAGAAACTAGCGAGCCGGCAGTTCCATTGCAAAATCGTGGACCTAGACTGACGTTTCAAGAGACGGGTGAGGGGAATACGTTCATGTTCGCCCAGTCGAATACTTTTATACAAATTGATGGGGATGTTATTCAAACCTTCCAGTTGAGGTGAGCGCACAGTCAACGTTTGCGAAATGACAAAGTTACTTTGCAGATTGTGCAGGCAGATTTCGTTCCAGTTTCGTACACGCTTACCACACGGACTGTTAGTCTACCATAATGTGAAAGTGCCAACGGGGGTGGCGCTGCAACCTTACGCCCTGTACATTATAGTTCAGCAAGGAGAGCTGAAAGTCGTGCACGTTTATGGCAAGGCTTCTACTGCGCTAACAGTTGGAAGAGGTCTAAATAGGGATGAATGGCATTCCGTTACGGTACGTTTACGATTACAGCCACTGATTAAACGCGGTCATATTAAAGGTGAAGATCGACGTTCATGGGGCGAGGTTGATGGCAACCGTCGATGATCTTAAAGAAGAAACTCAAATTAAGGGCTTGGACAAAGAAAACAATTACGGTGTTTCGGCTAATTTAACTTCAGTTGTCCTTATTGGAGGTAATTCGGTCCAAACTTTTTCCCATTCACTTTGAGATAAGTGCTGAAAAAAGGTATAGTAAAAATCAACTGCCACATAAAGACTTATTGATCGAACAATCGATGAACCCAAATGAAAAATATCGCCGCATTTGATATACATAACTTAGCTAGGTCAGAATGCCCCAAAAGTCATTATTTATTACACAATTTATTCAGTTCAAACTTATTTATTAAGTTGGAGACGCTCTCAACAAAAAAATACACCCAGTGAAGCAAAGGTTTTTACAATTACAACAATTTTTCCAAAATTTATCTTTTCACGGTGTAAGGGGGCTCATGGAGAAGAAAGTTTGATTAGAATCTGATGCCTAGAATCGAAAAATGACCAGAGATTCATCCTCGGACCTTTAGGGTTAAAAAAAACGTCATAAGTTGATATCTCAACAAGTAAGGGAATTGCGAATTTTTTATTGGAACCATGTGGGATTGTTGTGCCAATATTCGAGTAGCTCAGTATGTCAAAACTGACTTTATCTTTGGATTCTACGCACCATATTTAGTAAAAAAGCAAGTTTTTACCAATTTAGAACATTTACCTGATAATTTAAAAGAAAAATTACATTCTATTCTATAGTAAACCAAAAATGGTTACAGAATCATCTGTAGGCCCTTCCTTCGGGTCCTCGGGACCAAAAAATTTCGAAAACGGACACGATCCCCGTCCGAACGTCCTAAATTGCTTATTTTTCCAGATATCAATTTGCGGTAGTGTAGAAATGTTGTAGAAATATCGGCCACTTGCAACGAATGGTTCCTGAGAAAAGTGCAACATTGGAGAGCTGGTCCGGAACTATCTCTAATTATTTTTTTCTACAAAATTTATTTAAAAGGTCGATATCTCAACCCATAAGGAAGTTGCGAATTTTTATTGGCCCCCTTAAGAGACCAAAATATTCCTGCGTCTTTAAACCGACTTCATTTTTGGATTTTACGTATTTGATTTAGTACGAAATCTCCTTTCTCTTGTATTTATAAATAATGCACCAATTACAATTAGATTAGATAACCCCAGCTGAAGAAGTAAATAGCAATGTTAGCAAACACACCTGCGAAGTCAATGGGTTTGATGACATTGGTAATTAGTGATGCAACCATGTAGCGAAGGGCAATAGACGTTGATCACCTGCATTTCTTGTTATTAGCACCAGAACACGTGCGTTAATTACAAAACCTTTTATCGCAAACAACCAGATGTCCCTTACTTCAAGTGTCTTATCTAAATCGAATAATTTACACAAATGATACAATTTAAACAAAAATTATGCAATTAGAAACAAAACCAAAAGGAAAAACTAATACTGAGACACAAATTCAAGTAAGACGAACCAACTGTGTTTATTTCTAAATAACTCCTCCCAGATTTACAGTTAATACATTGAAATATTTTACATATATTTTTAGTGTTTAAACTCTTTTGTATGGCATTTTTTCATAATTTTGTGTATTCTAACTGTTGCTTTTAAAATGGTATATTGTCTCTACTGTATCTACTGCACCAGCTTAAAAATCTGATGTCTTGAATGGCATTTTTGGAATCCTCACCACTTTTCTGGAAGGTTGCTGTTTCATTTGAACTTATTTGGAATTTGGAATCATTTTTTGAGATCGCGAAATATTTTAAAGATCTACTTACAGTATACAGTTGCACTTTTAATAAAACTTTTTGCGAGTCTTCCAAAACACTCCTGAGAATCAGTCTTAGAATTCCTTTTTATAATCCGACTCTCTTTAAAATGGTTCTTGATTTCGCTTTGAAGGTGTTTCCTCGGAGATTTTTGATTTTCTTGAAATTCCATTCAAGTCTTCTTAAAATCCTGTTAAGATGATGTAATACATTAGAAATTCTCTCACTTTCTGTATTTCCTTTGAAACTTCCTTCAGAAAGTTCATAAAATCTACAAGCCCTATCAAATATTTTTTGCGTTTTTTAAATCTTGGTATGTTAATTAATTGTCCCTTTTTACCCATTTCGCGTTTTCTTTAACATCCTTAAGCATCTTTCTTAAAAACTTTTTTAGGGCCGGAATATGGTAATGTTCAATTAATTAAATTCAGGTGGGGCCAGCATCTTTTAGGATTATTTCGGAATATCCTGGAAATACAGTGGGGTGCTCATTAGAAGAACAAGGAGCACGTTAGTTTCTTCAGACTGATGATTTAAAATCCATCTGACTATTAACTATAGAGTGGTTAATGAGTTATTCTATTTTATTCATAGTACAATTGACAATTTTGAACTAAAACTACTTTTTGCAATCGACTAGACTAAATCTTTACTCAAAAGTTTACCTCTTTTAGGTGAGTTCTTAATGCAAACCTCTCCTGCGATCTGAAACATGAGTGTGAAATTCTTTGATTTTTTTGTACCTTGTGTAATAACGGGTTGGTACCTTTAACAAGGGAAGTAGCTGCTACGAATCTACTGTAAACTCAACTTTCATTACAAACGTCCCTCTGTAATCTATGCGTATGGTCATAATGGGTGGCCGGTGGTGGCAGGGCAGCATCAGCTGATTGGTCGTCTTTACCGCCCATGGGTGATGTAAACAAACATCATCACTGCTTAACCGCGATCATCGCCAATTAGTTAAGCAACTCACCGGCGTGGGGAGGATCCCGCCCCGAGTTGGCCCTGAGCTCTCCTGGTCCTCTCAACGCTCCGATTGGCGATTGGGGTTGAATGCGTCATTGGAAGAGTTAAGATGGAGCTCATACCTATTTGAAAAAAGGTTCTGCCGCCTCGGCCTTCTGACTAGGTCCCTCGGCCAGTAGATCAGGAACGTCGATGTACGTCTCTCATTGCTCTCGATGAAGACGAAGTTTCGCTGCATAAACGCCCCCGATCAATATAAATCTTATGTGGCTCTTGGTTCTTTATTTTACCTTTATCTTTTACGGTACATTTTGACTCTCTTAGCCGGTTGGTGTAGTCAATGTAAGAGTAAAATTACAGGTTTGAGTTCCGAAGAACGTCTCCACGGGGTGAAATATATAATCGAGTCATTCGTCGGTTGCATCAAAGACGTCATTCTCAGCACAGGCAAATCCGCATCGGAGCTGCTTCCAATTTCTCCCCTAATTGCGACCAAACACGAAAACGTCCAGGAGGGATGCACTGACAAGTGCGCGACCGAAGAAAACTTATGCTTCCAAGGATCGCGCTGCATTAACCATTACAATACTTTGACGTGCGACTGCTTCGGCACTCACTACGAAGGAGAATTCTGTGATATTTACAGTGAGTCACTATGACTTTGAGTCTTGGTAGCGTAAAAACTAATTTCAGCTGCCACGATACTAACACTTCGAGGATCGTCCTACGTTTCGTACCGTATCTACGATTGGAAGGACAGAGTGCACTCGTCTGTAAATAGATTTTCAATGATGTTCAAGACAAACTTCGACGATTCGGCTTTATTCTACGCGGCCGGTGGAGATCAAGGTATAAATCATTACATCGCCGCTTCCGTTTACAATAACTCAGTCTACGTTAATATGGATTTTGGCAATGAACCTCTAAGCGCGGTCTTGGGGCAAGACGCCAACTTAAAAGACTGGAACAACTTCACAATTTACCACTCCTACAACAAAGTAATTCTGGCCCTCAACCACGAAAGGATCGTAATCAACATAACTGAAAATTCATTTTTGTACATCGACCCGGAGATCTACATTGCTGGCGGGCCGGAATTGAAGAAGAAGAAAGGCTTGATGTCGAGCAATAACTTCGCTGGCTGCATCAAGTACGTGTTCTACAATGAAATATCGATCATTTACGAGTTGAAGAAGATGAATCCTAAGGTGCACTACATTGGAATCTTACAACCGGAGTACTACGAGGCCGACGTGGAGGTGATTCCAATCACGTACCCCTTTTCCGGCTCGCATTTTTGGTGGCCGAACAATCACACGGATAGTTTATCGTTAGTGTTCGACTTTAAGAGCCAATCGAACTTGAGCGTGCTGGCGTCGAGCGAAACCAAGACCGGATTTTACTGGGAGGTCCGGGTGGTTAACGACGAGGTGCGCTTCGAACTGACCGATTCCAACAGAAACACAACCGATCTGGTAACGGTAAAGAAAATGCGCGGAATTTGGCACACCTTAGAGCTGACCTATCACGAGTCGGAGGTGAGCCTGAGCGTCGATAACAAAGTGAAACAAGAAAATTTGGGAAACTTTAAGTTTTCGGTTGGTGATAAAATTAAGTTGGGAAGCGGGTCGAAGAACAACGCAGGCTTAGTGGGCTGTATTCGTAATGTCGTTATCAATGGCATGAATATTGAACCTCGAGCTGTTCTTCAAACTGAAAGGGTGGTTGGTGAGGTCACTTTGGACGATTGCAAATTTGTTGATCCGTGCCATCGGCCCAATACCTGCGAACACAAGGGCAAATGCGCTGTCAAAGAAGATCGACTCACCTGTGACTGCACCGGTACCGGCTACATGGGGCGAAACTGTCATTTTGCCAAGTACCGGAAGACTTGTGAAGAACTGGCTTTGCTCGGTAAGTGCGCGGTACTGGTTCCGGTTTCAATTCCTCTTGTAGGCTATACCAAGCCGGACGTATACCTGATCGACATCGACGGAAACGGACGCTTTCCACCAGCACACGTCCGCTGCGAGTTTCAAAGTTTGGAGGACTCTACTAAAACAATTGTGGAGCACAATCTTCCCAGTCAAATAGACGTCCGGTCACCGTCAGAGAAAGATTTCAGCTTTAGCATTACATACAGGGAGTTTACAGCCGACATGCTACAAGAGTTAGTGTCCCACTCATTGAACTGCAGCCAGTATATCAAGTACGACTGCTTCAAAGCACCCTTAGATCTCCACTCGTCGACTCGCTTCATAAGCTCGGCCAATGAGACCGTCGATTTCATTGGGGATGAGAAGCGGTAAGTATTGGTCCATATTTTTATATTACACAAAAATGGTAATGTAAATATTCTGGAGGACTTCGATAAGCATCCGTCGGACCAGCAAAATTGACATAAACGTAAAGACAGAGGACATTTCTGCAAAAGTCATACTCAGAAGCTAAAGAGACTGATGTACACTTCCAAGACAGAGAAAAAAACGTATGCATTTCGATCTCTCCTCGATAGCTGAGAGATTCAATCTATCAATATTTTCAAATCTATATGACCCTCGCTAACTACCGAGTTGCTTTTCCACGCTTACAATGGCGAATCATTAATCTCGATTTTAAAATCACTAGTCAATCCTAGGCAAATCAAAGCTACAGATTTTACAGTTTCCGAGCCCGTGATTTTTATCCGGCTAACTCAGAAATGTAATATTATACTTCCATTAAAAAGGATGTAGTTTGAGCTATACCCCAGACTTCAAGGAGCCACAGGTGAATGAAGAAGAAAGGCTGTGCAGAAAAATAAATATGTGCTATTACACGCGGCTCTTAAATACAATCATTCATTCCGATCTTATGAATTTAACGAAAACCAAATTCTCTTGTCAGCGCATTTGCCCCATTGTTTCTTTGCAGTAGGTAACCTAAACAAATAATTTCTTTTACCTCTTCTTTTCTTTCCTCCCTCCATTTCCATTCTTCCTTTTCCTTCCACACTCCAATTCCAAATTTCATGTCCATGAACCTATCAGAGCAAGGTCAGCAGAAGACAATCAAATATATTGCATAATTAGGTGCTCACTAGGCGCTAATTAAGTGCCCTATTCCCGAATTAAATGCTCCTTTTTTTTTTAATTATTACATGTTCTGCCAGGTTCATATGAACTCAGCCGAGCACTACCTTAAAAACCCAAGAAATTGAAAAGTGAACTAACTAATAATTAGGTGCTGATTAGGTGCTAATTAAGTGGCCTGTTCTCAAATTCTGTGCTCTTCCTTTTTTATTTTTACTATTTATATGATTTAAGCAGACAGGCACTGTGTTTACAAAAACAAATACGTCTTTAAGTGTTCGTGATTTGGTGTATTAAAAGGGGCTAATTTATTGCTTTTAATAGTGCTCTGCTGAGTTCATATGAACCTGACAGAACATGCAATAATTTAAAAAAAAAAGGAGCATTTACTTCGGGAATAGGGCACTTAATTAGCATCTAATTATAGTTAGTTCACTTTTCATTTTCTTGGTTTTTTGAGGTAGTGCTCTGATGAGTTCATATGCACCTGGCAGAACATTTAATAATTTTAAAAAAAAAGGAGCACTTAATTCGTGAATGGGGCACTTAATTAGCACCTAATTATAGCAAGTTCACTTTTCATTTTCTTGGGTTTTGAAGGTAGTGTTATGCTGAGTTCATATGTAACCTGACAGAACATGTAATAATTTTTAAAAAAAGGAGCATTTAATTCGGGGATAGGGCACTTAATTAGCACCTAATTATAGTTAGTTCCCTTTTCATTTTCTTGGTTTTTTGAGGTAGTGCTCTGATGAGTTCATATGCACCTGGCAGAACATGTAATAATTCAAAAAAAAGGAGCATTTAATTCGTGAATAGGGCACTTAATTAGCACCTAATTAGCACCTAATTATAGATAGTTCATTTTTCATTTTCTTGGGTTTTTGAGATAGTGTTGTACTGTGTTCATATGAACCTGGAAAAACATGTAATAATTTTTTAAAAAAAGGAGCATTTAATTCGGGAATAAGGGCACTTAATTAGCACCTAATTATGCAATATGTTTGATTGTGTTCTGCTGACCTTGCTCTTCTAGGTTCATGGACATTCAAATCTCATCATCTTGGACTTTTCTACATTTAGCTCCCCCCTACCTGATCATTTCCGTCATCTGTTCTATCTCTGTTGCCATGATCACCGCGTCGTCCGCGTATGCCAGAGACATATCTTTCTTCTTCCCACTCCTATCCCTCCACTTGGTCCTGTTTTAATACTTTAAGCCATGTCTCTTAAGTAGAGATTAAAATAATGGTGGGACATCCTTTACATGTCCAAAACACTTCAGACTTCTTCCATTTTATTCTTACTCTCAACCTTGTTTCTACATGTAGTTCCTTGATTCTGTCTATAACGTCTTGTCAATTTTCCCCATGTTCCATTATATTCCATACTTTTTCCATTTCCACTCTCGTCTCTCCCTGCCGCTTCCCTTTTCTTCATTTTTCTAATTTCTCCTCGATGTCCTCTTTTGTTACCTCATCTCCTTCAACCTCCAATCTTCCTAACTCTTCCATGACCTTCTCTTCTCCTGCTTTCCTGGTAGTAAGTTGACAAAATGTTGTTTCCATTCCTGTAATTATATTTCCTCCCACTTGGTCTATTTTCCATTTATCCTCTGTTCATTACCTTTCAAAAATCATTTTTTGTTTTTGCTCTTCGTATTCTTCCTGTTTCCCTATTTTTTTCTTTACATTTCCTTTTGTACTTTTTTTTCTGTCCTCGCAGCTGTTTTTCCCCTATTTCCTCGTTTCTCTCTTTATTTCTATATATCTGTTTCTCTCTTCTGTACACTTTTTGTGTCACCACTCCGTTCTTTTCCTTTCCCCTCCCGTTCAGTTATTTGTTTCCACGCTATTGCTTTTTTAATACTCTCTTTTATTTTATTCCACTCTAGTCTTTGTGTCTTTTCTTACCTTCCCTTTTAGAATCTATTCTATTCTATTCTATTCGCAGGGGAGCCCGACCGGGCAGCACTTAGGCACACCAGAGGCCCATTGTGCCTACCCCCTTTCTTCGCAACTGAGTTCAGAGCCCGTTCCTCTCAATGAAGGATAGGACCCTGTTTAGCCTAAGTTGCTTCACCCTCCTCGGTTCAATTCCATCGTTTGGTGATTCGATTCTATTCTTGTTCCTGTCTTAAATTCATGTATTTCTTCTAGTATTTTTTCATTTACGAACTAACTAACCTCCCTCTTCCTTCCATGTATGTCCCCTCCATATCTCCGTTTAAAATTCTTCAACTCTCTTTTCTGATAATTCCAGTAACACTTCTCCTTCTTTGTTGCACGCTTTATCTCTTGATTTTCTAGCTTGTGGTCCTCTTCCCATATCTACCCATTTTCCTTTCATTCCTGTTCTGGGCAATCAAATCTCTCCCCAAAATTAACCTCTCCTCCGTTACGTCTACCATATTTTCTATTTAATTTTTTTAAAGTCATTAATTCCTTCTCTGTTGCATATCATTATCATTCTCAGCTTCCCTCCGTTTCCACTCATTTGATCTATATTCCTTCCTCCCCTTTCGTTATCTCTTTTTTGTCCCTCTTAATATATGTAGCTCCTTTAGCTCGTTCATCTTCGCAAATTGGTTCTTCCACGTGTATTCAGTTTGAATGTTCTTTATGTTATCCCAATTCTTTTCTTCTATCCATGACCTTACAAACTCCCACAATTAAGCGACTTTACCAGCTATTTCCGCTCCATGCCAGTCTATCATTCTCATATAGCCCTTTTTTTCTGTTGTTTGTGTCTGTACCATCATCCCTCCTCTGTAATCCGTCTATCTTCTCTTCTGCTATTAGGTCATCCCTCCAAACAAACCTTGCCCTCTCCCGTTTTGTTCTTCTATGTTCTCAGTAACTCTTTATTGTCTTTGGTACTCTGTATTTTTCATTTTCTACTATTAGTTTCTTATATCTCCATCTTGCTTTCTCGCTCTCTCTCCCTTTTTCGATCACTACTCCCTTTATCGTTATGTTGTTTATTTTTTCCCTCATTTTCTTCTTCGAGTTTTTTTATCTTTTCTATAAGTTCTTCTTTTCCTTCGTAGAATGAAGTTCTTCATTATAGTTTGTTTGTTATGTGATTACGTTCTTCTTTTCCTTTATCGCATTGCTCTTCCCCCTTCTCTTTACTTCTTCCCTTAATCCTCCTATTGCCTCCCTCATCTTCTCTTTCATTTTATCCATTTGCTCCTGTGCTTCATTAGCCGCTCTTCTTTCCTCCTCTACTCCTTCCATCAATTTCTACATTGCTTTCTCCATGTTTTCTCTTCTCCTCCTCTAGATTCTCTCCCTTCCCTCTTTTCTATTCCGCTCTTTCTCTCTCCTTTCTCCCAGGTCCGGCTTTCCTTCGTTCCGGTGATCTTATAATGAAACACTTCTAACCACTCTTCCTCTTATGCCTCCTTCTTTTTTCTCCCTAAACTCTTCCCCGGCCGCGTTAGGGACTTGCCTGCTCTGCTGCATTCGTCTCTCTCAGTCGCTTCACTAATGAGCCCTCCAACTTACTACAAACCTACGCTATCGTTGTGCAACCTTAAACCCAGGCGTGCGTAATAGCTATTGCCTATCCGCACAAAAATCAATTAATAATGTTAAAAGACAGGCGCTCAGGGCCTGCAAACAATGTACCATGCACATGCGATCGATTGGAACAAAAGAGTGTTCATTTCTTTCACAAATGCACAAAAAACACGACAGGAAATGATGTTCCAACTCCTCCATTCCTTTTCAATTTCTTGTTTATTAGCGTAAATGCAGTGGACTGACAGATATTGAATTTGTAAACCCGAAAGAGAAAGATTACAACTTCTACAGTAACAATTAATAGCCTGGAAACGGATCTTCTGTATACATTCAGAGGTGCAGGAAAGAAATCCAGTATGACATAGTCTTATATTTGAGGTCAATGGTCATTGACTTTTACACAACTTTAAATTGACGATCGTGTGATACGATAACTCTTCTCTAGAGGTACTTGCCCGTGCTCAGTTGGGAGAAAGTGTGAGAATCCGACCCAGTGGTGCAATTGCGATTCGGAAGATGACAAGTGGAATTCCGACGATGGTTACTATACAAGAGGATCGAGCTTGGGTATCACCGAAATGATTTTCCTTCAGCAGCCAGATCTACCCGAAGACGCACTAGGACGTATAACTCTGGGGCCGTTGGAATGCGTCGAGACCAGTGAGTAGGTCTCAATTAGTTTCCCACCTCACGTCTGTTGTAGACACCCAACGGTTCGTTGTCACTTTCACCACAAGTCAGTCATACATCGAAGTACCGGGTTGGCGCAAGGGCGATCTTGCGTTTTCGTTCCGAACTACCGGGAAAAAGGCCATTCTGCTCTACCAACCACCAATTCGTCCAAAGTATCCCAGTTTCATGGTCGCGTTAACAAGCGGTAGGCTCCACTTTATGAGACAATGCGTTTCGAGGCATACGTTTCAGATTACCAGCTCACATTCAATTTCACTCTGAACACGGGCGTATCCAAAGAACTCGTAATCATATCCAACCGGATCTTAAACGGGGGAGAATGGCACAAGTTATGGATCGATTATAACAAGTACCATGTGCGATTTATGATTAACGAAGATTACCAAATGGTCGATCTGAAACCCGAGGAAGAGTTTGGACCGTTTGAAGGGTCCATGTTTATCGGCGGAGCCCCATTGTAAGTACGACCAATATTAATGAATACAACCAAAGCGAAATTTCAGCGACCTGCTGAATCCCAAGTCATCCGTTCACCAAGGGCTAATCGGGTGCTTCCGAGGTTTAGTGGTTAACGAGGAGATTTTAGATATTTACAGCTACATGAGCGTACACTTAAGCGAAATTATCAAGGATTGCAAACCTTCTTGCGTGCCGAATCCTTGCAAAAATGGAGCACAGTGCAGGGAACTGTGGAGTACCTTCGAATGCATATGCCCAAACCCATGGGCGTACACTGGGGTGCATTGCGAGAGCAGTAAGTGTGCACGATAATCAGCTCGAGAAGCCATAAGTTTATTTCAGACATTAACACCAACGCATTAACGTTTACGAGCCCAGAATCGTTTATAAAGTATAACTACGTGGGGGTCGAACAAATTGAGGAGAAGCAAATTTTTCAAAAAATCTTTGACGAGCCCTTACTAATCAACTTACGTAGTTACGACACCAAATCGCTAGTTCTGTACGCCAATGATCACCTGAACAATTTCATCCACATTTATCTGGATAATGGAACGGAGGTTATCTACCTGTTCAACTATGGAAACGAAATACACAATATCACGGTGAGCAACGCCGAGCTGAACACGAGCACGTCAATTCAGATAGCGATCGAGAGGAACGAGGGCAATACAACGTTACACGTAAATGAGAACAGCACAACCATTAGCATTGGCGTTTCATTGTTGGAGCAGTACTCCCCTAAGCCTTGGATCAATCCAGATAAGGGTACGTTACGCCATTTTCCGCGTCCTAGTGCCTTATTACTGATTGCATTTTGATATTTCCTTTGCAGAAGTTCTTGCACCGCAACGTCCTCCTGCCCCTCCCACAGAATACTTCCAGCTCAACCTGGGGGGTTACGAGTTGGAAAGTCTGTTATCCGCCGCCGATAATCCCAAAAGCTTTCCAGGCTACGTCGGTTGCATGCGCGGTTTCCAAATCGGCAATGTGCTGATCAACCTAACCGAAAAGGCGAGCAGCAACGAGGATAAAGGGGTGATCCCGAACTGCGACATGAAATGCGACGCGCTACCCTGCAAGCACGAGGGCGTGTGCATAGAAGACTTTCGCAAGCAGGAGCACACCTGCAATTGCGAACACACGAGCTACTATGGCGAGTTCTGCTCGGACGAGAAGGGGGCCGACTTCAGCGGCGAGTCGAACTTGTGGAGGGAATACGTGCTGAACGGTTCCGTGGATCACGTAAAGGTACAATTGGCCTTCTCAAGCATGGACGTAAGGCACAAGAACACTGTACTAATTCTGCTTCAAACCGAGAACAAGTAAGTTCTAATCATAACCAGGGCGCAATACTCATTCCGTAATTAGTCGTAGCTATTACCTCTTAGTGGGCCTCACGCCCGAGGGTTTCCTAATTGTGCAGGAAGACCGAGAGGGTGCAGTTTTCAGTACGACGGTTCAAAGTAAAACTTTTATTAACGGAGCGAGACATTCGGTGTATTACAGGCGAGATGAAGACGATTATGAACTGCTGGTGGATCGTGAGTTGATACCAATGCAACAGATCCCTGCCCAGACGTTTACTAACGTACCCGAGGTTGGCGCTAATGAGGTTCAAATAGGCGGACACAATACCACTGATCCTCGGTTCGCGATTTACAAGGGATACAGTGGCTGCTTGTCAAGTAAGTACAATGATAAAAAAAAAACGTGGACTAGGAAATTCTGTCATATTCGATTTAACGACGTTATTGCGACGCATGCCGGCCTCTATCTACCCCTTTCTCTTTTTACTCTTCGCTATTTATGCGGAAGCCAAAACGGAACCAACGAAATTTTCGCGACCACCGTCAGTTTTAAACCAGTAGCCGACTACCAATTACACTAATTGCCTTTACTGCTATTGTAGTAACGCCTTTGCGACTGGCACCTATACACTATTTTTTCAGATATATTCATAGAAGTAAACGAGCACGTTATGAAGCCGCTCGAAGAATACATGCTATTTACGAAAACCGGCTCGGAAAAGGTAAACGTTTCGAATTCGCATGGCGTACGAAGTGCCCAGTGCAGCCCATATTTCGACATACCTCACAAAGTACCAGCGGGACCCACAAACTTAAACATCAGCCAGGTGAGTGCTCACCTCCTGCAAATTGAGTACTAAAAATTGAGCAGGGCAAAGACAAAACTTGGGTCGAGGACGCACCGCAACGGATTTTATACCAGTCGCATTCGTCCGTTGCGTCCGTCCAAGAGGAGGGCGTCGGGCAGATAATCGTAATCACCTTGTCGACGTTCTTCGTGATCATACTGATATGCTGCGCCTACGAGCTGTATCGCACTGACAAACAGTACAGGCGAAGAAAGGAAATGGAGACGGACGCTGGTATTATTTGGTCGAAGGAGCAGGCCGCCAAATTACAGGAGCAGGTAGAGATCTCAGTGGAAAACCCTGAGGATTGTCTAATATGTTTCAGTCGCAAGATTTCGATGGGGAACCGTCCAAGGTTTCCCAAAACGGAAAGCTACCAACGCGTAATAACGGAAACTCGAACGGAAACTCGACTGTCACACTTGTTCGTATAGAAATATCGGATAACGATAAAAAGGTGGTGGACAGGCGTGTTGGATTTAAAGGTAGTATTTTGTGTATAGGTTACCTTTACTATGGATACCTCAACAGATGGTCACAATCCGGAGGAAGCAATTGAGCTGTTAGACACTATGCCAGAAATCAACGAAGAGGAGGAGGAGGAGGAAGAAGACGACTGTCAGCAGCAGGATAAACTCGTAAGTAGTCTTAAAGATTTAGCAGCGCTCACTGCCACAAGCGAAACAACCCTATCACCATATAAGTCAAGATACTATTCCAGACCTAGTTTAAGTAACATCTTTGAAATGGACTAACATGATTTTCATTGGCTTTATTGTAGTGATTGTAACCAAAATTCTTGTGTAAAGGTCACTTCTCACTAATGGTCTACCTGTGGCTTCTTGTGCTTTCCACGTTTCACATCGCCTTGTGCTTGCGTCATTAGTGAGAAACCACCTTCCTAAAGTGATCATGTTGTACATTAAGGCAAACCGATTAGTTGTACCAACTTTTTTAAATGGTTAATAAAAGAGTCATTGTTTTCGTATAACATGAGCATTACATTCATTTGTAAATAAATTTGGGTTAAGTGGTATTTAGGTTTTACGATATAACGCAGCTGGAGCACGCTTGAGCAACCCCACTGCCACACAATACTGACGAAAATCAAAACGCGGCACAGACGCACCACCATCACTGTGTGTAAGGTTTTGGGATCTTTTCATCACAGTAGATTCTCCAAGACTAGTATAGCTAACTTTGTATTAATAGGTGACTAATGGATCAATCCGCGTTTCTCCTAGCTCAACCTCAACACCTAATGACACCGAAGGTAGGATCGCCGATGTGGTGCCCAGTTATCTCAACTGTTTGTTTCCAGAATTAAAAAGACTTCTAGCCGTAACGCTAGCGCCAATTTTCCTAAACGAGGGGAAACGCACCTACTCTAATCCCATCAGTTACCTTGGGGGGCCCAAGCTGGTCGCGCGGAACCGTTCTAGCATAGACAGTGTGTTGTCTTTAGACTGATTTATTTATAGATGTGTGTAGTGTGGCGGATTTGATTATATATTCGATCGTAGTTTGTTTCAATGTTATCCCGAATAGGCACCGACGGAGTAGAGGCAAAACTTCATTTCCATTTTGCATGGAATTGCAGTCACACAAAAAGAAATAGAAATGCCTATTATTATACAAGACGATAAAGGGATTTTTACTTTCACGAGGTGTTAGTTTTCCTTTATCGTCGTGTATAATACAAAACTTTATTTTATAGCAAAAGCCATATAAATTATTGTAATGCTTCTAACAATTCTAAATTTAATTTAGAGACGTCAAAAATAGCAAGCTTAGGTTCTGCCGTCGCGATCGTTTCCATAGAAACAGAATGTTTTCAACGTCATTTTCTATCGTGCATTTGAAATAAGAATAACATATGTCATTAAAATGCACAGTCATCTGTTTCACTTTATCTACCCTTACGGTTAAAGTGATCACTTTATCTATCCTTACGGTTAAAGAACGGCTTAGCCTACTCATTCAAACCTATTAAAATGTCAATTTACCATATGCTATAAAATAAAGTATATAGCGAATCGGCGTGAACATTTTTCTAACAAAATATGCTTTGGCACCTGAGACAAAAAAAAACTCTAGAAATTGTGACTTTAAAAGGAAGTTTTAGAGCATTTATTAATAATTTAATATTTAAGAACCTTAAACGCCTTTAAAAGATAACCTTCTAACACCTTCCAACGTTAGCTTTTAAACATTTTATTTACCTAAAATCGTCATAACTTTCATTTGCATGCCTACTTTATGTCAAGAAATTTTAATTCCCGTCAGTTATATGTCATTTTCCTGAATTTTATGTAAATAACTACTATATTATAAAAATATATAAAATAATAATAAATAAGAATAAAAAAATTTCATGAAATAATATAAAATATAACATTTCAAAAGGCAACTGGCATCCGCTATTACGAAAATCTCAATGAAGGAACTCGGCAGCCTTGATCACTTCGCCCACAATTGCAAAGAATTATTTAACAAATTGTATGTAATTAACGCCTAACAATCTTGGGTACGAACAGAAAAATGGGGTCGTAATTTGGGTTAGATGGAACAGCTGATCCTTTACACATGACACGTTTATTCAACAAAAATCAAGAATTCATGCTGTAAGAAAAAAAGGCACTCAAGGCCTGCAAACAAAATACCACGCACATGCGATAGATTGAGACAAATTAAATTTAAAAGAAATTTACTCTTTCTGGATGAAGTAGTGCTTGAAATCCTCTTTCGATTTCGGATTTTGACCGTTGGTTCTGCGAAACGTGCGTGAAAATTACCACTCGTGTCATTTCCGACGGTTTGCGTTGTAGCAATTTGCCTTAAAAGAGTTTGAATCTGCTCAGCTATCAACAATACCGCATGCGACCGAAATTATACGAAGAAGAAAACGCCAACGCTAATGCGATAATGAAACAAATCATTTAATTAGAGGACCCCCTTTCCCGTACTGCTAACACGCAAGAGCTACAGTCCCCACGAGATGAAGGAAAAACGTATAGGAAGAAAATCGGACCTGTATGCACACTTTCTCGACGGAAATAAATTATTGTTAATGGACACAAACAGGCTTTCTAATGATAATTCGTCCATTTGAAAATTTGGTATCACCATCGTGTCCTGAAACATATTACTGCCAAATATTTTGAAAGTAGTACCTATAGTGTGTCTAAAAGAAATAAGGCGATTACTTTGAAACACTCTGTATATGTGAATCAAGTATCATTAACATGAAAAAATAATTGACTACTCCAAAAATTGACTTGGCTACGCCAAAAAATTTTCTGTAGAGGTGTAAGAATCATCCCTATTGACGTTGTTTAAGGGTTTACCATTGACACCATGAGTCCAAAAATTGAGGGTGTCCAAGGTAAGTACAGCCACTAATATTTTAAATATTCCAATGTTTAATTTCACTAACCAATGGCAAACAGATGAAAATTTTCCCACTTGAACCCCCTCCCCCCTACTTCCAATTAATTCAAGAATTATTCCAAAGCCCGTTATGGTCAAGCACAAAATTTTAGAACACGATAAATTCACCCCCAAAAATTCACTGCAGGAACATTCGCCCCTAAGAAGACTTGCCCTCGTAATATTACCCCCGAAAGATTCGCGAGAGGGAGATGCGTGGAAGATATGACTCCAAGAAAACTCGCATCCGCAATTTTCGCCCAAAAAAAACCACCAGGAGTATTTGGACCAAGAAGATTCGTCCTCAGAAATCGACTACCAGTGTATGTGAAATCAGGTAGCGTCAATAGGATACTACCCCCGTTCGTTTGTCATTTGTCCACCATATTACAGACGATTGTACTTTTCTGAACGTGAGGGGCGAATATTTTGGAGACGAACTTAACAATGAACTAACAGAAAAAACGGATAAAGCAAGAACATCATGGTTTGAAGCAGTATGTAGGAAAATATCGAATACGGAGAAAAAAGGTGGATAGAAATAAAAAATAAAGATGAGGGAAAGAATACCTATGGAGGAAGCATTCTATCAAAGGAAGTAATAGCATCCATAAAAGAAATGAAGGATCGGAAGGCAGCAGGAGTCGATAATATCCCCATAGATTTATTGAAATATCTGAATATAGAATATAGTGACACACACAGCAGAGATCTTGTTGAAAATATTGAATGGAAAGCATAACACATCTATGGAGAAAAATATAGGAGAGGAACAGTTTGGTTTCGGAAGAGGAATGGGCACAAGAGATGCAATAGGGGTGGGGAGAACGGTCAGCGAAAAATATTTGGAAAAAGGAAAGACTTTCTGTGTTTTAAAGGAATTCGGCTGGATAAACTGGGAGAGAAACTGTTGGAAATCCTAAAAAAGAAAAAAGGGGGAAGAAAAAGAAATTGGTCGAGGACCTGAAGGCTGAAGAAGAAGGATGTGGAGGCGTAAAGAGAAGAGCAGAGGATAAACAGTCATGGAGAAGAGCCATCAGACACTCCATTAGCACAAAACTAGTGAGGGTAATGATTATGATAGAGGCTTGTTAGAATTTGCGTCCCCTTACACCCCTAAGCAGTGTTCCTTCTCACTCGATCGTGGATCCTTCTTACCGTGTCCGATAGTCGAACCAGATTTTAACGAATCTCGAAGTAGCAAAAAAAGGGACCATGACAATATCCTGAGAGAAGACAACTTACCCCCAGTGTGGGGGGAAACTATAAGGAAGCGTGCAAGAACCGTTTGTAAAAAGTGATGGTATCATACCGGTAGTGAATTTGAAAACCGCTAGTGGGGTTTTTAACGTCCCGTAAACTGTAATGTGTTTAAATTAATGGAAAATTTCTTCTGGTTCATATGTGTATAGAAATTAGACAGGAATATTATTTTTTAAGGGGAAGGGGGGATGTACGAACAATCCCGACTTCTCTTCGGCAATTTATTTTTAGCTGGGGTCCGTAGTCTAGGTGCTCCATGCAAATGAAACTGTCAAGATATGTTTAAGTGTAAATAGCTTAATTACAGTTATTATCATTTGCGGCATTTATTTAATTGATAAGATAAAAAATGTTGTTTTTAATATTATAACGCTTGCATATGAAGAATATCAGCCCACAGCAAAGTGAACATGTTTGTAATTGAAGGAAAAGTTGCTCTAATAACCGGCGCCTCTTCGGGAATTGGTGCTGCAATAGCCAAAGGACTTTTGCAAGCTGGGGCAAAAGTACGATTGCTCCATAATATCCAATCCTAATTCATTTTGTTTTAGGGTACCTCTATTTTAGATATAAATGAAAGTTTAGGTTTGCAAGTAACAGAAGAACTCAACAAGGAGTTTGGCAAGGGGAAGGCTGTGTTCGTCAAAACGGACGTTTCTGACAGGAGACAGTTTGAAGGTAATTTATAACAGCACTCAATTTTTCTTGTACCTACCACTTCCTTTAGATGCGTTTAAGAAAACAGTGGACGTATTTAACCAACTAGACATTGTGGTCAACAATGCCGCAGTTATAGACGAGAAAAACTGGGAGAAGAACATAGCTATTAATTTGGTAAGAAGCCTCTTTTGAACTTAACCAGATTGTTTAGATTCCAGATTGGTTTTGTAAACGGGACAATTTTGGGATACGAACACTTCCTCCCCAAGTATAAAAGTTCAGATGAAGGAGTAATCATCAACATTGCTTCTATGGCTGGATTGTACCCCTACCCTCCCCTTCCCATATATTCAACCGCAAAGTCAGGCATAATTGGGCTAACTCGTAGCTTAGGCTTCCAAAAACATTACCAACGTACACAAATTAAAGTAATCGCTGTATGTCCCGGCTCTACCAGTACGAACAACCGGCGTATAAAGGAAGAAGATCTATTAGGGAACGCGTATTATAAGATACAAGAGGAAATACTCAAACTCACACCACCTCCTCAGGCGTAAGCCGTTAAGGAACACGCAGGCGACCCAATTATCTTTTTGGTTACAGCGCGGCGACTGTGTCCAAGGCAGTGGTGGATATTACAAAGGGGGGTTCTAGTGGATCTGTCTGGATCGTCGATCAAAACCAACCGCCCTACGAAGTTAGTTTTTTACGTAAAAATCGAAGTAAACTGTAGAACTTTTCAGGGAATAAAAGTATTTGTGCTAAATATCGTAGTTCAGTTTCTCCCAGGATGCAAAACCTTGGGGTGTATTGCCATTTTCTGCTACACTTTCCTGAACCCAAAGTTCTAGATTCTAGGTTTGAATCCCAGTTTCCAATTTTCTGGAAAATGGAAAATTTGTTCGATGCACGATTAAAATGTTGTGCATGGGTGCACCATCCTGTTGAAACCAACAGTTTCAAATTTTGTTTTTTTTTGTGGGCCGTACATCGTGATATTCGTAATAAAAAATACTACTCAATACAGTATGTACTTTTTTGTCGGTCCATATAAAAAATAAGGTTGATGATGATTTCTCAGAAACGAAACTTTGTATTAAAAATCTGTCAACGCTATCTTGTAAAACTCAAATAGTGACAATGAGAAAGTGTTGTTTATTTTTCTGTAACTGGTCAAACATCAAAAAATAAAAACGAAGGGCTAAGGCTAATCGGATGAGAGAATAGATCTCACTTTAAGTGATATTGCACTGAGTGTACAATAAAATACATTTTCTGGGCACGTTCCCAATACCAGCAATGGATAGATACGCCAAAAACAACTAGGCAATTACGAAATAGTTTCCTTGCATTCTAATGTCTTCCACCATAAGAATCTAAGCTAATCGCGGTCCCCTTTCTTCACACTCATCTATAGGAACGCCTTTTTGATATCAGACTCCACTCCAACAGCATGCGTACGAAAACGTGTCATAACAGCTGGTATTTGTTCCAAATGATTTGGGTCTTTTCTAGGCAATCATTTAGTGATGGATTACCTTTTACTTTTGAATTGGCATCGAAAACAGGACGAACCGGGGTGCTTGTACTTTCCAATTGAACCACCGCTCTATGAGAAAGATTCATTGCATTCTCCAAGATGAATTTTGTAAGGTTTATACGCCTTTCTCCAACACAAAATTTTAATCCAACCAAAGGATTTCACTGAAATTAATTACAATTACCCAATCAATGCAACACAATATTACCAAAAATCCTTTGTTTGGATTCGATTCTTATCAATAAATTCAAATTTTGTGGGTGCCATACATCTTTATATTCGCAATAAAAAAATGTTACTCAGTACAGTGTGTATTTTTGTACGCGTCATATAAAAAATAAACATTGCGATGATTTCTCCGAAACGAAACGTTGTATTGAAAATCTCCCAACGGTGTCTTGTAGAGCTCAACAAGTGGCAATGAGAAAGTGTTTTTTTAATTTTTCTAGACCCATTTCCCAGCAAACACACTGTTTAAAAAACGTTTTTAAAGCACTTTGAAAGGATAAATTCCGTATTGGTAGTATGATATACGTTTTTTGGTAGACCAATTTTATACCCTACGTTTAGAATATGTATATAAATAAACATTCTTACCAATAATTTCATAAATGTAGATAACGCCACTTTCATTTACGATATGGGCCCTGAATGTTCGTGACAGACTTTGTAGTTATTATGTGCTTTATATAATTCAAACCTTTTGATTTGATTAATTATACAATCTATCAAGCCTAAATATTGCATTTACTATAAACGTTTATTTGCAGTACATTATCGACGAATTTAATACGAACGATGGACATTACTCAATATTTTATATGTGAAATTAAAACGTACCTATTCAGTAAACGAATAATAAAATAATAATAAAAGCATAATATTCTATAAGAATATAGGAATATCCGCCGGACATTTATGATACTATATACCAGTATACATATAATTACGTTTTTTTACACGTAGGGTTTTAGTCTACTATATACGAATGCCCTTTCCTATCATTCAGTGGCCATTTGCACCGACAAATTTAAGCTGAACTTAACGGATTTTTGCGACAATGGTTCATGAATTTTAAGTTACACTCACGCTAAGGGTAAGTTTAAATTTGTCTGTGCAAACGGCTATTAAAGACTTGATCAAAAACAACTCAATATAGGCGTGTTTAAAATGTAAAAGTTTTTTGAGAAAAAATAGGAAATAAAACCATTTTTCATAAGTTTTTCGGGACCGACGTTAGAAGGATACACTAAGAAACGCATTTTCCTCTTTGCCCTCGTTTTCTTTCAGCGGTTTTGCCACCACAACAAAACACAGGTGTTTAGATTAATTTAGTTTATTTTCGTGTATAGGTCATGAATCAATTGTAACAGTTTGCATCGCTCGTTATAGGGGAATTCAATTTGAGAATTTGCATACGCAGATCTATGTCAGTGATGAAACTTTGATTAAGCAAGTTACAATTGTGGACAGTGGCCATAAACAATAATTAACTTAATTAACTTTTCGATGAGTTCTGAAGATAATCGAAAAAAAGCGAAATTAACGACATTCGTCTTTCTTTTTTTCTAACCCTGTTTGAAAAAACATGATGCCCATGGATTTTCACTGTAACGTGTCGTCTTTGAGAAACCATCTCAAATTCATATTTTTATATGCACCGGACAAAAAGTACATACTGTATTAGGTAGCATTCTTTATTGCGAATACGATGATACATGGTGATTCACCAATGCATTATTTCAACATTTTGTCAACACCTATATTACACCAAAATGTTAAAAAGGCGTTTTTCTGACAAATAATAAATAATTTTTAACATTTTGGTGTAGTCGACAAAATGTTAAAGTGACTAATTGATGGTTCCTTTAAATGACATAATAAAGAATCATATTGTTCCATACATCTCTGTATACCGAATAAAAAAGTGCTACTCAATAATTACAGTATGTAGGTAGTTTTTTTAGGTTCATATAAAAATATGATGATCTCTCAACGACGAAACGTCGCAATGAAAATCTTGTAAAGCTTTTAAAATGTGCCTATGAAGTTTTTTGATATCTTTTCAAATGGGGTCAGAAAAAAATACGGTTAATTTCGAATATCTTCAAATATTCAATTTTTTTCTAATTTAACCGACTGTGTATCTCATGGTTTCCGATTTCCTTATGCTGTTCGTTCTTATATTTTCATTGTATTTAATTTAATTTATTATGCTTAAATAATTACATATAGTAATTTTTGCACTCGTCTTACGATTCTCTTATCTGTGATGATTGTTAAAAAAGCAAACCTTTGCTCAATAACTTTACTACAAAATGTATACATGTATTTTGCATGTATGACGTAATGAGTGATTATGAGTGACACGGTATTGCAATAACCAATGATTTGTGAATCGTAAAGCATCCAAATTTTGCTTTAAAATCAATTTTGGACTAAATTCTTGTCATTCACTTTGAGTTCTAATTAAAAACTCAAGCTCCGAAGGTTTCTTATTTTGCTCAACAACCCATACAGATCCGCTTTCGCCCTCTTCAATTATTTGCAGTATGCCTTTAGAAACCGAAGAAACTCTAGCAAAACGACAACGATATAATAATTTAAACGAAAACCGCATATTTTACCTTTGAGGTGGTGGAGTACATTTTCGAAGATCGTCGTATAAATCACTATAAGCGGGGCCTAGAAATTTAACTATTGTAAGAGCAGGCGTGTCTGTAGTACCTGGGCAAACTGCGATTACTTTAATTTTAGTTCGAGTATAATGGGGACTACACCCCAGTGAGCGCGTTAAGGCAATTATTCCAGATTTTGCCGTCGCATAGATGGGTAACGGAGCACAAGGGTATAACCCAGCTACGGATGAAACGTTAATGATTACAGCTTCTTCGCCACTTCTATACGTTTCTAAATACTTCTCATGTGCCAAAACTGTACCATTAATCGTACCGATCTTAAAATGTTAAAATCATCCAAAGCCTTATCTGCATGGATAGTCTTACCAAATTCACGGCAATGTTTCGTTCCCAGTCCCGTTCGCCATTTATGACGGCGTTGTTTATAACAATATCTAAGTTGTTATACACTTCCACTGTTCGTCTTAATGCGGCTGAAAGTAAAATGTTATTTGGGCGTCCGCCACATGCGAAAAATAAGTACCATCAACCTCTTCGCGAAGCGACACATCCGTCTTGAAAAATAAAGCCTTCCCTTGGCCAAATTCGTTGTTAAGTTCAGCTACCAAGTTTAACCCTTCTTCTTCGTTGACATCAATAATGGTAACTCCCTAAAGAAGACAGTTTAGATGAAAATTTAAATAGTGCACACACCTTTAATCCAGCTTTTAGAAGTTCCCTTGCTATTCCGGCGCCGATACCACGAGAACCACCAGTAACCAGTGCAACTTTTCCGGTTACCACATACATTTTTTGTTCTAGCGGTTCAAACTGTAATGAGTTTCAGCTAACTGTATGAAATCATCTGCACTATAATAAAAAAGATTATTAATTTGAGCACTTATCAACTGTGTGACATACCAGAGCACAGTGTAGTAATAAACAACTTACGAAATCGCATTTTAATTACGTAATAATGGGTATATTTAATAAGTAATTTTTCTCTCTAAAACCTTTCCGGGACAACTGTCTTTATTAACGAGCTCCTAGCGAGTTCATAATTTTGCGCGTTCTGTCCGTCTGTTCGTTAGTACAATATGTCCAAAACGAGTGGGCCGATTACGATGAAATTGTGCAGATAGATTCTATATCAAAGTCGTATATCGGAGTTCATGAATTGGCAATCTAGGCAAATAAATAAGGAAAGCCCTCTTGCCAGCTCCGTTAGTTATGAACCACTTGCATGAAATTATGCATAGCTTTAGACATATAATACGAAGCTATAGCCATACCCAGGTTCTCGTTTGCTATATTTGTTTATAATGTATTTCGAAATAAGTATAACGATAAAAATTTCAACATGATACAAAATAAAGTATCACTAATAAACCAGAAAAACGACAACTACAATTTGGTATTCAGCGGCATCTACCACCAATTGAACAAGAGTGGTGTATGATGGGTCGATGGCCTGGAACAGTTTGGATGATCTTCAAATGCGTCTTTTAGAATCTTGGGACAGTATCACAAGCTAGCATCTATTCGTATACCCCGTCAAGTATCTGAAAGCACATTATTAGTGTCGTTTGAATTTGTTGTAATTGTGTCATTATTTCGAAATAAAGGCAATTGTCCTGAAACTTTCATCAAAAGTGATCAAAGTACACTGGGTGTATGACGACCAGTATACATTCTTTCAAACTTTAAAGGCGCCTGGTAAAGTGCAAGGCCCCACTAAATGATCTGGCTTATTGATTTTCTCGCTCTTTAAATATTAAATTTAAAGGTGTAAAAATTTCGAAATGTGTTTGGGTATTATTGAAGAAGTGCTGGGCAAGTTTTCAGCGTGCCTCAAATATCTACCCAAAAATGTCTAAAATGCGCTACCTAACCGAAAAAGTTGCACTGATTATGATTGTTCCTAGTTTCGAGTCATTCGGTACCTATTAATCCCATCTTGCATACATCAATTAGTGAAGGAGTAGATACTTTGATCAAAACATATTAAAATCGCTACGCAGCAAATCATTTGATTTTTGACACAACTTATAATAGTTCTCTCAGATAGCACAAATCACATAGGTACTAATAGTACTATTAAAAATCATTGGAAATATGTACATAATGGTTTTGGGTCATTCCTTGTCCACTCTTCTGTTCGTACGACACTGCAACACGCCATAATTCCAAATTTTATACTCTTTGTAGCCTGTAAAATAGATCGAAGTAGCAAGATTAAACTAAATTATGGCAAATGATGGTAATAACACTGATGATCGTTCAATATTCCGTTATATCGGTTTATATTTATTGGACTATGACGATTTTTAGCGCATTTCCACAAAAAAAAAAAATGCGCTATTGTGGCCACTTTGTCCGTCCGTCCGTCCGTCCGTCCGTCCGCTAACTTTGCGACGCTACTAGTTTTTTTATCTTAAGAGCTATTGTTCTACTTTTTTCGCTATTTGGTTCGTTATGGTGTCGAGTCTTGTACCAAGGAAGGAATTTTTTCTGTACCGCTTACAAAAAAAGTTATTGTAAAAAAACAAAAAACCGTTTTTTACATGTTCCATAATTTTACACTTTTGCCGTTTATTAACGATCCTAGAGATCGTTTATAATTTTGCATTGCTATCTGTCGTCTGCCTGTTGGTCTGTCCGTCTGTTCCTTTGTCTGTCTGTCCATCTATCTGTCCGTGTGAACGATAACTTTGTTTAGAAATGTTCGATCACTTTTACATCTCCGTTAGTTATGACGTGAATTGCATGAAATTTAATATGGGCATAGCTTTAGCCATATAATACGCAATGCCAAAAGTTGAATCGAATCGATTCAAAATTCACAGTGCCCTTTTCGCATTTCGACCATTTATAAACCGAATTGCAAAATTTTTTACTTATAAAAGCATTTGAATGAAATTTGATACATAGGCACTTGGAATAAAGGAAAATCAAACGCCAATTTCAAAATTTGGTTTTGCGCATGCGCAGTGCCAACTGTTTTATTTATGGAAGAATTTAAATGAAATTTGATACATAGGCACTTGGAATAAAGGAAAATCTAGCGCCAGTTTCAAAATTTTATTTTGCGCATGCGCAGTGCCAACTTTTTTATCTATGGAAGCATTTAAGTGAAATTTGATATTTAGGCGCTTGGAACAAAGGAAAATCTAACATTAGTTTCAAAATTTAGGTTTGCGCATGCGCAGTTCCAACTTTCTTATTTAGAAAAGCATTGAAATGAAATTCTTCTCATAAACTGACATTGAAGTAGCACGACAAAAATGGATTGCCCATGTGCAACGCTATCTTTCATATTTGTGGCCGGATTTTTACGATTTTATAGAAGTTGCATCTTACAAATGGGAAATGAATGCAAGTGGAAATGCGCTTTATGTAAATCGTTTACGATTACTTTTTAACTTGTTTTCACTGATGTTAATGGAAAATCCTTGTAACCCTGTACCTTGATGTCAAGAGAGGAGGTTTTAAAAAATTACTGAATTAAATATGCCCAGCTTCACGTAATTAATTTTCGTAAGTTGTTTACTACTACACTATGCTCTGGTATGTCGCAAAGTTCATAAGTTATACTATTTTTTATTATATAGTGCAGATGATTTCATACAGTTACCTGAAACTCATTACAGTTTGAAGCGCCAGAACAAGAAATGTATGCGGTAACCGGAAAAGTTGCACTGATTACTGGGGGTTCTCGTGGTATCGGCGCCGGAATAGCAAGGGAATTTCTAAAAGCTGGATTAAAGGTGTGTAGTGTACACTACTTAAATTTTCATCCAAACTGTCTTCTTTAGGGAGTTACCATTGTTAATATCAACGAAGAAGAAGGGTTAAACATGGTGGCTGAACTTAACAACGAATTTGGCCAAGGGAAGGCTGCATTTTTCAAGACGGATGTGTCGGTTCGCGAAGAGTTTGATGGTACTTATTGTCCGCATGTGACGGACGCCCAAATAAAATTTTACTTTCAGCCGCATTAAGACGAACCGTGGAAGTGTATAACAATTTGGATATTGTTGTAAACAACGCCGTCATAAATGGCGAACGGGACTGGGAACGAAACATTGCCGTGAATTTGGTAAGACTCTCCATGCAGATAAGGCTTTGGATGACTTTAACATTTTAAGATCGATCCGATTAATGGTACGGTTTTGGCACATGAAAAGTATTTAGAAACGTATAGAAGTGGCGAAGAAGCTGTAATCATTAACGTTTCATCCGTAGCTGGGTTATACCCTTGTGCTCCGTTACCCATCTATGCGACGGCAAAATCTGGAATAATTGCCTTAACGCGCTCAATGGGGTGTAGTCCCCATTATACTCGAACTAAAATTAAAGTAATCGCAGTTTGCCCTGGTGCTACAGACACACTTGCTCTTACAATCGTTAAATTTCTGGGGCCCGCTTATAGTGATTTATACGATGATCTTCGAAAATGTACTCCACCACCTCAAAGGTAAACTGGAGTATTCGTTTAAATTATTATAAAGTTGCTTTTTTGCTAGGGTTTCTTCAGTTTCTAAAGGCATACTGCAAATAATTGAAGAGGGCGAAAGCGGATCTGTACCTATGGGTTGTTGACCAGAATAAGAAACCCTCGGAGGTTGAGTTTTTAATTAAAACTCAAAGTGAATGACGAGAATTTAGTCCAAAATTCACTTTAGAGCAAAATCTGGATCCTTGACGATTCACAAATCATTGGTTATTGCAATACCGTGTCACTCATAATCACTCATTACGTCATACATGCAAAATACATGTATACATTTGGTAGTAAAGTTATTGGAGTAAAGGTTTGCTTTTTTAAAAATCATCACATATAAGAGAATCGTAATCGTAATCTGCTTATTTTCGATGTTTCGGAACGTTCGATAAGTTCGAAATTAACCCTATTCGTTTGTATTTTTTTCTGACCCCATCTAAAAAGATATCAAAAATTCATAGGCACCTTTTAAGCTTTACAAGATTTTCATTGCGACGTTTCGTCTTTGAGAAATCATCATCAACTTCATATTTTTGTATGGACCGGAAAAAAAGTACATACTGTAATTGGGTAGCATTTTTTATTACGAATGCAGCGATGTATGGCACAATATGATTCTTTATTATGTCATTTAAAGCAACCATCAGTTAGTCATTTTGACATTTTGTTAAACATTGTTTATTGTTTAAGTCAGAAGAACGACTTGTACTAAATTTTTAACATTTTGGTGTAGTAGGTGTTGACAAAATGTCGAAATAATTCATTGATGAATCACCATATATCATATATCACCGTATATTCGCAATAAAAAATTCTACCCAATACAGTATGCACTTTTTGTCCAGTGCATATAAAAATATGAAGTTGAGATGGATTCTCAAAGACGACATTGCAGTGAAAATCCATGGGCATCATCTTGTAGAGCTTAAAAAGTGCCAATGAGAAGGTGTGATTTGTTTTTGCAAAAAGGACCAGAAAAAAATAAAGATGAACATGGTTAATTTCGCTTTTTTTCGAATATCTTCAGAACTCATCGAAAAGTTAATTAATTTAATTGTTTATGGCCACTGTTCACAACTTGCTTAGTCAATGTATTACCACTCACATAGATCTGCATATGCAAATTCGCAAATAGAATTTCCTTAAAACGAGCGATGCAAATTGTTACAATTGATTCATGAAATTCGCGAAAATAAATTACAAAATTAGTCTAAACACCTGTGTTTTGTGGTGGCGGGGAAACCGCTGAATGGAAACGAGGGCAAAGGGGAAAATGCGTTTTTTGGTGTATCTTTCTATCCCGAAAAACTTATGGAAAATGGTTTTATTTCGTATATTTTTCAAAAAGTGTCATGAAAGTTATTCCCCTATAATGCCCCAATTACAATCGCTTGTAAGTAAAAGCTTAAACAAAAAGTCCTGGTAAGAATCTTTATTTCAAAATAGTGTGGGGGCAGAAGGCCGAGTCCAAATTATAATACTCGTTTAAATAAATTAAAATTATACACTTAGAAATCGAACCCCTCTTGAGGAACCCGTAGAAGTATTCCAATATATATTAATCGCGACATTTCAACCGCATTAGTGGAAGGTGCATATTTATCCAGTGTGTAAACGAGATTTGTCCATTTTGTTTTTATGTTAAATTGGCCTTTCCTGAAACCTCTATCTAACTATTTTTTCCACTATTTAACGAGAACATTTAGCTTTTTGGATTTCAATTTTTTCTCGAAAAAGTAGAATTTTTAGTCTGCAAAAAATTTCAAAGTTCCAACGCGTCTTTCCAAACAAATCTTGGTCGTAATGAGGTAAAGAATTCGGTTTGATGATTATAGGTTATGAAATGTGCGTTATTTTACGCAGCTGGGGATCAATTTACTTAATTTTGGCTTCAAGATGACGAGAGTTGAAATTACATCCTTTTTAGAAGCAATAATAAATTACATTTCTTAGCTAGCGTGAGATAACTCACTAAAGAAAAAATTTACGGGATCAGGATCAGGGATCGTGAGAGACGTGGATAGGAATGATTATTGACCTTAACTCGTTCTTGACTCAAGGAGAGTGATTCCAATAGATACATATTGAGTAGCAATTGCAGCATTTTTTGTTGTTAAACCATTAAAGATCAAAATGAGAGCGACAACGGGGTGATCTACTAAAACTTGAGTTAATTAACGTTGTGATTAGGGCCAAAGATAAATAAGGGTATTCAACTCTGTTGAGTTACCTGTGTGACGATAGCCTTTATTTGGATTGAAATTTTAGTTTTCCCACAGAAATTCGTAAAATAAGAATTTAAAGTCAGGGTTTGGGCATTGTAAAGAGTATATCTAGATGGGTCAAGAGTGTTTCTTTCAATGGATTTATTCCTTAATTAAACTGGACTACGCCAGGAAATCTGCTTTTTATACATCCGTTTCAACGAGAGTCTAATATTACATTTTGAAAAACAACTGGGATTGGTTGAAGAAACAATCTTAACCAATGAAAATTAATCAATGGTTCCCTTGATTAATACCCCGCCAATTTGGGCAGGTTTAGTTATCAAAATACCGAGTGGGAATTAGTACTGGAGAGGCTACACGCGTATTATAAACAAAGACTGGTTTCTTATAATAAACAATTACCAATTAAAGGAATTTTTCGTTCCCCGTTTGTAAGAAATTTAAATAAACTAGGTTCATATGGAATAAATTCTGTGGATTATCAATGACTACCATGCGCGGTTAAATCAAAAAAGTTCAGAACGTTATTTTTTCACTGATGTTATTGACACTCTGTAGTTTGATGACAAGAAGTGGTGTTTTGGAAATAAAATTTACTTCACAACATCCCCCAAATACCCTAAACTATCTAACCACCCTGTATTGTGTATATGAATCTCAAATGAAAGTCACCCACATCTATGGAACATTTCCCGTTAACCACCTACATATCAAACTATAATACGCCCTAAAACTTTCCCTTGACAAACAATAAAATCCACCCAGTAACTCGTGAAGACGTCTAAGCTGCATGGAAATTTTCAGAACAACTTGCAAAATTCCTATAGAAACGTAATATGTATAAAAGCGATTCATTTTACAGGTAAGCAATACAAAACAACCACCATGCATTCTATGCTAATGACAGTAATTATAAAGTAAAAAATAAAGGATTTACGCATCAATTTTTCTGATACCTCGACACCCGCCAGGCCCGCCAACTTTGTCCTTGCACCATTTGAATTAAGAGCGCGGAAACATTTACATTTACAGTGGCGTAACTTGCGGTTTTCTCCATAAATTAAGTGCATAAAAGCGGGAACAATTCAAATTTAAAATTGCCAGATACCGTAATATCACAATACGTAATTGATATGCGGTTACGTAAGTCGTTTGCGATTACAGTGTGTTCAACAGTTGATAAGTGTTTAAATTTTGAACTTTGAAATTATAACTGAAACTCAATAAAGATACAGACGGCTAGAGCAAGAAATGTATGTGGTAACCGGAAAAGTTGCACTAATTACTGGGGGTGCTCGTGGAATCGGTGCCGCAATAGCAAGAGAGCTTCTAAAGGCTGGACTGAAGGTGTGGTTACTACTTAAACTTTTCTCTAAACTGTCTTTTAGGGGGTTGTCATTATTGATATCAACGAAGAAGAGGGGTTACACTTGGTGGACGAATTTAACAACGAATTTGGCCAAGGAAAGGCTTTATTTTTGAAAACGGATGTGTCGCTTCGCCAAGAGCTTGATGGTAGGTACTTATTGTCTGCATGCTGCCCAAATACAATTTTACTTTCAGACGCATTAAGACGAACAGTGGAAGTGTACTACAATTTGGATATTGTTATAAACAACGCCGTCGTAAGTGGCGAAAGGGACTGGGAACGAAACATTGCCGTGAATTTGGTAAGGCTATCCAGATCAGGATTTGGATAACATTAACATTTTTAGATCGGTACGATTAATGGTGCAGTTTTGGCACACGAGAAATATTTAGAAAAGTATAGAAGTGGCGAAGAAGCCGTAATCATTAACATTTCGTCCGTAGCTGGGTTATACCCTTGTGCTCCGTTCCCCATCTACGCGACGGCGAAGTCTGGAATAATTGGCCTGACGCGCACATTGGGGTGTACTCCCCATTATACTCGAACTAAAATTAAAGTAATCGCGGTTTGCCCTGGTGCCACCGACACGCTTTCTGTTAGTCCCATTAACTTTTTAGGGCCGGCTTATTTTGATTTATACGACGATCTTCGGAAATGTACTCCACCACCTCAAAGGTAAAATATGGGGTTTCCGTTTAAATTATTATACCGTTGCCTTCTTCGTAGAGTTTCTTCAGTTTCTAAAGCCGTACTGCAAATCATTGAGGGGGGCGAAAGCGGATCTGTATGGGTTGTTGCACAAAATAAGGAACCTTCGGTGGTTAAGTTTTTAGATAGTGAATGACAAAAATTTATTCCAAAATGTGGATGCTTTACGATCCACAAATCGATGGTTATTGCAACAGGCCTACGATATTTAAAAGGTTATCACAAATTTAATCGGATAATCGAGTCAGTCTACTCGCTATGGCAACAAACGTCCTCATGTAAATAAAATTCGACAAAATTATGCAATAAATTTTTTGTTAATTTACAGTTTACTTTTTCTCTTACATAGCACTTTCACTTCGTAAGGTGATTGGTTTTGATCAGCTATCCAGACAGATCCACTAGCACCTATCCCTATAACCTCGACTACTGCCCTGGACACAGCCGTCGTACTGTGAGGAAAAAAGATGAGATAGTCGCCAATACGACCCTTCGCAATCTTACGGCTGAGCAATTGGTGCCAGTTTCATCATGTCTACTTGGATCTTATAATAATCGTCCCCTAGTAAATCCTCTGCCGCTATGTCCTGCAGGATGTTCGTGCTGGTGTATCCGGGACAAACAGCAATTACCTTAATTTTTGTACGTTGATAATGTTGTTTGGCGCCTAAGCTACGAGTTATGCCAATCACGCCCATTTTTGCCGCAGAGTACACAGGAGTGGAAGGATAGGAGTATAATGCAGCCATAGACGCAATGTTTATGATCGCACCCTCCTCTGAACTTTTATACTTGGGGAGGAAATGTTCGTATGCCAAGATGGTCCCGGTTACAATGCCGGTCTACGAAATAAATGATCTGATTAGTTCAGCGAAGCCTTCTTACCAAATTAACCGCAATGTTCTTCTCCCAGTTTCGCTCGCCTCTTGCTGCCGCATTGTTGACGACAATATCAAGTTGGTTAAACACGTTTACTGTTTTCGTAAAGGCATCTAAAGCAAGAGGTACAAAGTAAAGCTATACGCCATCAGAAAACTACCTTCCAACTGTCTCCTATTCGAAACGTCCGTTTTGATAAACACAGCCCTCCCATTCCCAAACTTCTTGTTGAGCTCTGCTGACACTTCCCAACCTAATCCTTCGTTTATATCTACAACAGAAACGCCCTAAGACACAATAAATGGCGTTTGATCTTTACTAATTAACCGTACTTTTGCGCCCGCTTGCAAAAGCTCACTTGCAATTGCAGCACCGATTCCCGAAGAAGCGCCGGTTATTAAAGCTACCTTTCCTGTAATTTCAAACATGCTCACATTCCTATAGATAATTCTGCACTGTTGTAACGAAAAATATCGTTCAATGGCAAAGCTCAAGCGATAAGGACTCTAAAAATATAATGAATGAAACAAAAAAAATGTTACTTATTAACATTAGCTTTATCATTTTGTAAACTCTTAGGTTCCATAATTTTACTTTCCTGGGCTTTTTTGTCATGAATAGGCGATGTAAGTTGAAACCTTAAGTTTGTTGTTAGTTTTCAAGTGATGTTTCAAGACAATCACACTTCGCTGCTTTTGATGACTCTAACCGAACTCACGGTGCGATCACTAGTGCTATATTTAAAATCAAAGGAACCGTTTCTACCAACTTTTCACCCTTCTTTCTAATCGCTTATCAAAAGAGGGGGTTTGGGGGTACTCTAATGAAAGGAATTAATTTCTAGCAACCATATTTCTTCCCCTCGACCTCTTCCAGAGAAAACTCTATTTAAATGGATTTGCAGTCATTTTAAATGCTTATTAAGTAGGCGTTGAAGTTGAAATATGAAACTATAGCGGAAAAGGGTGGAAATTATTTCGATTTTTTTTTAATGGTGAATTTGCGATTACAACAGCAGCTCTGTTCAATGGTGAACATAATTTAACGTAATTTAGCCGCTACTATAAATGTAAATAATAAAAGAAGGGGCGAGTTTTGGAAAATAAAAAAATCAATACTCAATACATTATTTTTCTACATGAGTTTTTGGGTATTTTTATTGTTTTTTTATTTATAAATTAAGTATAAATACATATTTCCCTCCCCTCCTTTATTCCCCTTGTCGCTATAAATTAGCTACACGATACGTCACGTTTGGGTATTCATGACTTTTTACTTCTTTTTCACTATTAATTAACAAAAATCACATTGTTTAATGAATTTTTTGAATTCCATACTTTCTATGGACCGAAAAAATGCGCAGAACTGATCGGTTCTTTTTTTACAATAGAAACCGGACCGGAACCGTTATAAATAGTGATGTGCATTGTAAAATGACGATTTGTAAGTTACATAAAAAACGGTTAGATTACGCGTAACTTACAAGAGGTCGGTTTTTTTAATGTAATTTATGTCTTTTATGAAATTTACGTAACTTACGTAAAAAACCGTAATTTTTGTAAAGTTACATAAATGTAATACCTATAATGTATTACCAATACCAATGTAAACGATTCACCGTTGAATCTAGCTTGGTTTCATGAAGATGATACAGCATCTAATTATCGATCTGGAACGACGCGTGATGGCGAAATACCTACTGCTTGGGTATTTTATTTAATAGACCAAAATATATCATTTAACTTTTTTGTTTTCAAACACTCACAAAATTCAACAAGTAAAAAAGTAATCGTAAACGATTTACATAAAGCGCATTTCCACTTGCATTCATTTCCCATTTGTAAGATGCAACTTCTGTTAAAATCGTAAAAATCCGGCCACAAATATGAAAGATAGCGTTGCACATGGGCAATCCATTGTTGACGTGCTACTTCAATTTCAGTTTATGAGAAGAATTTCATTTCAATGCTTTTCTAAATAAGAAAGTTGGAACTGCGCATGCGCAAACCTAAATTTTAAAACTAATTTACTATAACTAACTAATAAACTAAGATTTTCCTTTGTTCCAAGCGCCTAAGTATCAAATTTCACTTAAATAGTTCCATAGATAAAAAAGTTGGCACGGCGCATGCGCAAAATAAAATTTTGAAACTGGCGCTAGATTTTCCTTTATTCAAGTGCCTATGTATCACATTTCATTTAAATTCTTCCATAAATAAAAAAGTTGGCACTGCGCATGCGCAAAACCAAATTTTGAAATTGGCGTTTGATTTTCCTTTATCCCAAGTGCCTATGTATCAAATTTCGTTTAAATTCTTCCATAAATAAAAAAGTTGGCACTGCGCATGCGCAAAACCAAATTTTGAAATTGGCGTTTGATTTTCCTTTATCCCAAGTGCCTATGTATCAAATTTCGTTTAAATTCTTCCATAAATAAAAAAGTTGGCACTGCGCATGCGCAAAACCAAATTTTGAAATTGGCGTTTGATTTTCCTTTATTCCAAGTGCCTATGTATCAAATTTCGTTTAAATTCTTCCATAAATAAAAAAGTTGGCACTGCGCATGCGCAAAACCAAATTTTGAAATTGGCGTTTGATTTTCCTTTATTCCAAGTGCCTATGTATCAAATTTCATTCAAATACTTTTATAAGTAAAAAAGTTTGCAATTCGGTTTATAAATGGTCGAGATGCGAAAAGGGCACTGTGAATTTTGAATCGATTCGATCCAACTTTTGGCATTGCGTATTATAATATGGCTAAATCTATGCCCATATTGAATTTCATGCAATTCAGTTCATAACTAACGGAGATGTAAAAGCGATCGAACATTTCTAAACAAAGTTATCGTTCACACGGACAGATAGATGGACAGACAGACAAAGGAACAGACGGACAGACCAACCGGCAGGCGACAGATAGCAATGCAAAATTATAAACGATCTCTAGGATCGTTAATAAACGGCAAAAGTGTAAAATTATGGAACATGTAAAAAACGGTTTTTTGTTTTTTTACAATAACTTTTTTTGTAAGCGGTACAGAAAAAATTCCTTCCTTGGTACAAGACTCGACACCATAACGAACCAAATAGCGAAAAAAGTAGAACAATAGCTCTTAAGATAAAAAACTAGTAGCGTCGCAAAGTTACGGACGGACGGACGGACGGACGGACGGACGGACGGACAAAGTGGCCACAATAGCGCATTTTTTTTTTATTTTTGTGGAAATGCGCTAAAAAGGTTTATGGAATACCTATTAAAAAAACATAAAAAACATAAATGACAGGTAATTTTACAAAAATATTTGTAAATTACGTAAAAAACATAAATTACTGGTAATTTTACTGTCAAATTACGGTTTTTTTTTAAAATGGTGTTACATAAATTACATAAAATTCCATAAAAATCATAAAAATTGTTAATTTTACACGTAATATTACGCACTTAAAAAAAGTGTAATTTCACATCACTAGTTATAAATATTTTCGCTTAAATATAAACAGAACCGAAACCAATATTTCATTTGGGTTCGGGTCCCTGCATTTAACACACTCACAAACTCGCTTACTTGCTTGTGCACTTATACACTTGTCATTTAAACTAACGAAGGTCCTCCTCGTTACTTCCGCTATTTCCGGAAGTGCCACCATTTTGAAAATATTTCACATCGATTCGCAGTAACTCCAAGTACAAATTTTCATAAACTTTCACTGTCCCAGAAACGTTTATCTAAAGCTCCGAACAAAACACCCTATATAAGAGAAGAACGCCGAAAGCGGATGACCAGTTGGGGTTTACCAAAAATAGTGGAGGGTGAGGAGCTGAAGGACAAGGTGCAGGATTAAACGGTGTGGAGGGAATACTATTTAGAGACTACAGTATGAAAATCAATAATACCTATAAATTAAGTCGGAAAAGGTCGCGTTTCGAAGCATATTATATATTTACATGAAAGTCCTGGCGAGAAAATAGAATATAGAAGTGCGAGGCCCCTTTGAGGCCGAGTACTTTAATTTCCGAGTCAAGTAATGTCATTTTACTAACGAGTTTTGTATTAAATTTTACCCGCAATCCTATTTTCATTGAGTTAGAAAACTAATGGAGGGAATCAAATGCTTGGCCAGACGTAGACCACGGGAACCAAACGTGGCCTCTAACTGTGATTAAAGTACCACACCACTTCCGTTATCATTAGCGCCTCACTTCAGTGGCGTAGAGATATAATTTTCTTTCCACTAATAGGAATAATAACAAAAAAAAACGTATAGAAGGAGTAAAATACATGCTCGTGCTTGTGGTAAAGTAAACAAAATAGACAAGGATGGGAAAGTATGCAGATTTAATATAATCATTGATTACAAATCTAAAAATATACATCGATGTGTTCCAATAGTATAATTAAGGCCAGTTTACTATAGCCACTACAACTTGACAACTCCCATTAAATTCACTGTGTTGATCAATAGCTACAATTGATTGGTTGGTCTCAGGTTCATTACAAGTTTTGATAGTACCTACCTACTGCATATTTGACGAGATATTTGATGAACATTTTCCGGTGCAACCTTTGGTCGAAATCACAGTCAATGAAGCGTTGTGAGCACAAAAGTAAATTTCGAGAGCTGTTCTTGAGATATATTTACAAATGTTAGTTAACCATTTTGCTCGAAGTACCGGTTCGTTTGGAAAACTAAGAAACATAAACTAGGTACCTACAACCTCGCCTACAACATGATAAATGACATGTCTTACCGATGAAAGGAAGTGCCCTGTTTCTTCCCTTTATGAGAAATTTTGCATGATACGCAGCTAATCATTCTCAATTCACAAAATTGCGTGTGATAAAAACACTATGCGGCAGCATAGAGTAAATAATTATTTACTCTATGGCGGCAGTTAGTTATAAACCAGAGCACAAACAGATCCGAAATTATTAGGTACTTTAAAATGGCAAATTTAATAAAATTTGAATTTGGTGGAAAACTGACAATGACAGGACCCGCGTTTTCATATGTCAAATAATGTCGGCCAAAATGTACCTTCACGGGAACCTATCCACGCGAGTGGCCTCTATCTGTGGCAACTTCCGTCTACAAAAATTCTACCCCCTCTACCATTATATTCCCTCCATTAGTTTTCTAACTCAATCCTATTTTACTATAAAACTTCATTTTTTATATAGAACTTTTGATTAATGTCAACCTGCCAGTGAGGACAGAAGTCATTATAGACATTTGTAAATGTCAAAAATGCGACCGGTAAAGTGGCGGTGCGGCCGGTAAAGTGACAAGTGGCAGGAAATGTAGTCTGCTCTGCCTCTGTCATGGAAATTAAAATTTCCTGACAGAAAGTAGCCATGAAAATGAAGGTTTCAGGACGATTTTGGGTAAAATAAATTGCACATATTATCAGTACCTAATTTATTGTACAAATATTGACAATTGAATTTCACCATAATCTGAAACTTTCCATTTGGTAATAGTCACCAAGAAAAATTCAGCGAATTGTCCAACTTGCAAAGTGTTGCGTTTTATCAGGACTGATCGATAAGAGATATTTCCAACAGAACTACTTGAACGTAATTGGGAAAAAGTAAGAGATACGAGATTCCAAATCAGACCAAGTTCACAAGCTGTGATCAATTGGCACCTATAATTCAATTCAGCTGGATAAATGCATCTGGTGATGGTCAAGAACGGCAAGGGATAGACTTTTATTTTTATTTTCACGTCTCGAACGCTTAAAATTTCGTAATCATTTTTTTCCAATTCATGGTTTGAATTCGTTTAGTTAGAATTACTCGATACATTGATTACTAAAATAAGTTTATTTATCTGGCCAGCAGGGATGTTTCTTTGAGTGGAAATAGGAATTACGTTTTTGTTCCTTTTAAAGCAATTTTCAAAGTTTGTTTTGAATTCATTGTTTTCATAATAATAAATGTATTTAATTTGAGACTCGTAATTTTTATTACACTTATAACTTATTTATAACGAGAAGTAAAAACGTTTATTTCAAAGAGCCAATATGGCATAATCTCTCAAAATATATTGGAGGGGTTTCTGAATACTCTGCGAATAAGCTAAACCTAAGTCAATACAAAAAAGACATTAGGATACTTAAGGTTTGGAAGAGCTTTTTCAACCGAAAAAAGTACAATTTTGGGAATCCTGACCGGCCATGGCCAAGATTAGAACCGCTTCACTCTGCGGTAGGAATACTCGTAATCTTACCCGCCCCTCCACAGGTGTCCAAACGAAAAAACCACAAAATTGTCATACTAAAAGTACTTATTGGTCTTTGCTTAAATATAGTTTACAATTTACTTTTTGGTTCAAATTGAAAATTTAATTCGACGGGTTCTCTGGAATGTTCGACCGCCCAAAGTGATCCACTACGGCCTTCTTTTATTACCTTTATTACTGCATTGGAAACAGCTGATATTCTACAATGATAATAATTATTTCTCAGTATTACTGCCTCCGATCTTACGGTTGGGGAGGAGAGCTCCTCAGGAGGTCTTGATACATTCTAAAGTAAGCAGGTCCCAGAAAATGATCTTCCTTCACATCTAAGATGGCTGTACTTGTAATTCCGGGACAAATGGCCAGTGTTTTAATTTTGGTCCGCTTGTAATGAGGGCCGCATCCCAGGCTGCGGGTTAGAGCAATAATACCCGCCTTCGCTGAGGCGTAAATTGGAGCTAATGGATAGCGGTGTAAAGCGGCCATTGACGAGATGTTTACTATTACAGTTTCATCGTCACTTTTGTACGTTGGCAGATAATGTTCGTAAGCTAGAATGGTACCATTGACGGTACCAACCTGAAAGCTTCAATACAGTGGTTATCTCACACCGGAAGTTGCCTACGAGATTAATGCCTATCGTCGCCTCCCATTCGCTATCTTCCAACCTTCCTGCGTTATTCACTACGATATCCAAATTATTAAACGTTTTTACAGTTTTCTTAAAGGCATCTGGAACTTTCGCTATACTTAGGCGTTAGGTTTTATACTGAGAAGTACCGTCAAGCTGTTCGCGTACGGATACATCCGCCCTAATAAATACGCTCGATGACTTTCCAAATTCTTCATTTAACTTGCTCACCGATTCCAGTCCGTCTCTCTCATTTATGTCAACAATAGCAATTCCCTAAAACAAAACTCCCAGAAAGCGTACCAACTCGATGCCATACCTTTAATCCAGCTTCCAAAAGATTCCTGGCAATTGCTGCACCGATCCCTGTAGCACCCCCGGTTATAAGACCAACTTTGCCAGCAATTTTAAACATTTTTCGCATTTATTTAGTAATAAGCGTCGATAATGAGCATGACTCGTGTCAAAATCGTATCACAACTGATAAGACCTCTCCACATTATAGCAATTCGTATCGAAATAATATGTATGAAGGTTAATCTACGAAGTACGAAGTTTTACAGCACGAAATACGTCAATTTTTTCGAAAATGTTATAACATTAGCTCCTAATTTCCATTTCATTTTTTCGAATATATTATGTAACGGTCCTCACGTTAAATTCCCACCCTTGGGTGTAATTTTGTAACAGGCGGTTACAAATAACGGTGGTGCCATGTATAAACTCTTCTTGTACATTGTAATCCTCTTCGTTTTCCCTTTGTTGTTGTTTGGGAAGCTGCCTCAGGTAAAAAAAATTGTTTAAGAATCCAATTTATTTCTCTTTAACTAGTATCTCATTAGTATCATTAATTGTAATCAAATCTTGGGAAAAAATCCTACTTCTGAATTTGATACTCCAAAATGCTTGGAGAATTTACCAATACCAATAGATTGTGGGCTAATTTACTTTGTTAATCGCATTAAATTACATAACAACTACATTCTATTCTATTTTTAAATATTCTATGAGCGTACTTCAATAGTTAGTGCTATCAAAAAAGCAATACAGGCGTCATGTGCTCTTTTTGGATCAAACTTAAAATGGTAAAATCAAAAATTGTAAGTGGGATAATCAAAAACTGTTCAGAATAGTCACATCTTTTCTTAGTTAAGAGATACAAAAAAAATTATTACAAATACTTCCTTATGATTTATTAATAATTTGCCATTTTTAAAATAAGTAAAAAAATTATCTCATCTTTTTAAATGGAAAACCCTGTACGTTTTAATCTAAAAATAGCATCTTTTCCGAAATGTGTAAGAACCATATTTTAGGGTAGTCCTTAATAACGAAAAAGTAAAATGTCAACGCAACCCCTATTTGATAAATGTGGCAAGCTGACTGGTCAAGTATGCGCGATTCTGCACATATGGGTGCAAGGGTCTTAAGGGATCGTGTTAACTGTTAAGGCAGTTAAGTTGCGTACGCGCTCTGGTCACGATCGTATAAGGGATGCTAGGTAGAGCATCGGACGTTAGTGAGTTTGGTGTAATAGCTCTTTATTGTGAGTGTCTCCCACGCGTAGGTGGTGAGTGTCTCCCACGTGTAGGTGGTGAGTGTCTCCCACGTGTAGGTGGTGAGTGTGTTGTGCAGGCCATCGTGCTGGTCGTGCTTTGTTGTTGGGCTATGGTAAAACCCCTGGCAGATATCCGGATATATTCCTAGGCTTTTAGAGTGCATTATGTGCATGTGCCTATGACGCGGTCCCGCGGGTAGCTCCCGTTGATTATACCGCTGAGTGATCTACTCGCTCGAGTAGATCATGGTGTCGACCCAATACGAAACATAAAGGCCTCATTGTTAACACAAACAGTTCGGGGGTGAACTCGACCTGGATGTCGTTCCCAGGTAGGGCAATGAGTGACATAGATCGACGTTACTGATCTATTGGCCGAGGGTCCTAGTCAGAGGGCCAAGGCGGGATGTGTATCCTAAATAATACACGTGCGCGCGGCGTAACCCTTTCTCAAATAGGTATGAGCTCCATCTTAACCCTTCAGGAAACCATCTCCAACGACACATTCAACCCCAATCACCAACCGGAGTGTTCGGAAGTTCCAGGAGAGCTTAGTGACAGTTCGGGGCTAACGCCCCCCGGTGAGTTACCTAATTGATTAGCGAGGATCGCGGTTAAGCAGTCGCGATGTTTGTTTACATGACCCTTTGGTGCGGAAGACGACCAGTCAGACTGAATGCTGCCATGCCAACCCCTTACGCGTAGATTACAGAGGGACGTTTCTAATGAAAGGTGAGTTTACAGTAGATTTGTCGCATCTTAATAATGAGTTCTGACCAACAATTAGCTCCAATTTAATTAGTGACTTCCCTTGTTGATATATAAATAGACCCCCCCCCCCCCATTACAAATGTAACACTGAAAATATTCAAAAATTTCAATATTAATTCAAAAAAAGTGTCAGAGATTTTTTAAAAAATTAAAAACCCTTTTTAAAAAATTTTTGTATTTTGTTGAATACCTTTTTTAATTTTTTTAATGTATCACTTGAATCTTTTTGTATATTATTCCTGGTGAGTTATATTGTTACAGAGAATTTAATTATGCCATCTTTTTAGATTAAAATCTACAGAATGTTCTATTTAAAAAGAAAGATGTTAAGTCCGATAACTTATATTACCTGATCTCGTATATTTATTTAAAAAATGGCAGATTATTCAATAATCATAATAAGGAAACTTTTGTAATAAACATTTTTCTGTATATCTTTGATAAGATATGGTCATTCTGAAATGGACCATTTTTAGATTGTTCCCTGTACCTCTTAAGCTAGCGAATATTTTCAAATTTTGTTTTTACCATTTTAAGTTAGATTCCAAAAAGTGTACATTGAGCATACGTATGCTTTTTATATATATATATATATATATATCCGATTCTAACCCAAAAAGTCACTAGAAAAAGTCACTAGATACAAAAAAGTCATCACTAGAAAGGTGACTAGGTTTGAAACTCTGCTAGGGGCCCCGTAATATGTCGATTCTAACTCAACAAGTCACTAGTGTGAAAAGTCCCTAGAAAATTTTGAAACTCTGCCAGTGCGCATAGGGCCGATTCTAAATCAAAAAGTCACTAGATTTGAAAGTTACTAGAAAAGTAAGTAGGTTTGAATGAGTGTTAGAAGCGCGTTATATAGAGCCGATTTTAACTCAAAAAGTAACTAGGTTTGAAACTGTGCTACGTGGGTTCGAATTTTTGCTAGTACGGTTCTGAACTAGGCGGTTTGTCGGAGGAGGAGGTTTGATCGCGTATTTCTTCACTAGGGTAATCCTATAAAGGACAGTGATTGGGCACTGTACAAGTCATATCGATTCAGAAAAGGCATGGGGCAGAATGACAAAAATAGTGATGACTGTAACTATGGATCTGTTGAGGGAAATAAAGAAATTAAAGTAGGACCTCGAGGTTTTTGAAGTACAGTGCAAATTAAGTAGAGTAGGATTGCCAGACAAGATGTTGAAGCATCCCCCTGCAATAGACAATAACATTTCTGATGGGAATTAAATCTACTCTACTGCACACTAAAAAATGTAAGCGTTCCTTTACGTATGTAGCTAATTTGTAGACATATTGGTATTCGGCAATTTATTGTAAGAATAAAGGTATACATACAGTTTTGTTATTGTTGTTGTTGTTGCTGTGGTCCTACTAAATTATAAAACATATGGGAATAACGCAATACAGCGTCTTAAGAAAATTGGTTGTAAAATTCAAGAACCCTATTTTACAAACCCTAGCCCAGAACCATACTAACAAAGATTCGAACCCACGCAGTACAGTTTCAAACCTAGTCACTTTTTTGAGTTAGAATCGGCCCTGTATAATGATTCCTCCAGGATTACCCATACCCCGAAATCGATAATTAATCAATATCTCATTGGAGCAAGCCTCCGAACGATCGAATGCCCCCGAAATCGATAATTATTAACTTTGACAAACCCTAGTTCAGAACCGTATTAACAAAAATTCGCAACACAGTTTCAAACCTAGTTACTTTTTGAGTTAGAATCGGCTCTATATAACGTACTTCTAGCCTAGTAACTTTCAAATCTAGTGCATTTTTGATTTAAAATCGACCTTATGCGCGCTAGCAGAGTTCCAAACTTTTCTAGGGACTTTTACCTAGTGACTTTTGAGTAGGAATCGACAACATATTACGCGGTCCCTAGCAGAGTTCCAATCCCAGTTAACTTTCTAGTGACTTTTTCGCATCCAGTGACTTTTTTTAGAATCAGCCTTATATAACTACTAGTGTCAAAAATGGGACACCCTGTACAGGTGCGATGACCATGGCCAGTTATAGGAGTAATGCACGAATTTTGTTGAAAAGAATTAGTTTATAGTACAAAAAAAACAAGGCCTGCGCAATATTTGCTCTTCCAATAAACTGATGTTGCTAATTAAATAGGTGGCAATCTTAAACCGTCTCAATGTCTTATCCAACATTTTTATTGCTCTACTCTCGGTAACGTTATCACAATTTTACGCTTGTAAGTGCGCAAATATTTTGTTTGAGAGTATAAAAGTGAAACAACAGCTTACCACTGTTAGTGTTAAGAACCAAAATGAAATCGTTCGTAGCAATCCTAGCTGCAATTCTACTTTTTTCTGCGGTTCGCGCAGAAGGTAAGGAATTCAGCTAATACAATCAAAGACATGTTATTCTTCTAGATCGTAGTCTACAAGGGAGAGGTGATGTGTCTGCAGCAATTGCAGACGTATTTTTAACTTCAGCAGCCTGCGTGTATGAGAAACTACCCCCTTTAATAAATTCAACTGCTATTTTGAAATTGTTGAGCTTCTCCCTTAATTGTGGATCTGTCCAACTCGTCCCTGCAAATACTGTACTGACCTGCATAGTAAACAAGCTTTCCACATCGGTGTGGGAAACTAAGACTATAGGAATACTGAAACTGATACCTTCGGCGACTGAACAAATTGTAAGTTGTGTTAAGTCTCGAATTGATGCCGATGCGTGCCCAACTTTGCGGAATGACATTACTGCAATACCACCAATAGGACTACAATTAGCAATACTAGTTTGCAAATAGACTGTATAAAATGTGGACTGGTGTCTGTAGCGCCCTTATTATTTCAAAGAAAAAATAAATCTTAGGAACTCATAGAGATATTTTTGAACTGTTTCAGAGCTGGGCAGAATGTGGCCCGTAGAATCCATAATCTCAAACAGTTCCAAGATTGGGCTACTAGTTCAAAAGTTACGGCCCTTTGAATTTTCTTTTGAATATGGTTTCTAGTCTATAACCTTTGATTGAGAAGTCTGATCGAAAAAGTACGAATTGTTTTGGATTCTACGCACCCAAATTAATAAGAAAAAGTGTTTTCCCGAGAAATTTTGGGGCAGTCGATTTTTGGTAAAAAAGGAAGGTTATACACTGCCTTTTTTTGAGGCCCGAAAAAAAAATTGTCTCAGATCGATCCGG